GCATGCATTCTGATATGACCCTTGATATCATGGATGAAGTGATGTTCGGTGCTCAGGCAACAATTTCATAAATTCAAGACTACAGTTTGTGCCTGCATACCAGACCCACAAGCTGTGCCAGGAGGTTGAAGCTCATGCCTGACGTAATGCAAAGAAGGTGGGGATGCAGACAGCAGGGCATAAAGGAAAAAAAAGCTCGTGCCTCGCAGAGCAAGGGCAGGCATACCCTTCAGGGCAATCAACTCAGAATGTGCAGTGAATGAAGGTGTTCAATCTTCAAATGTACAAGTTTCACACTGTTGGGAGATTATGTGTCCATGATATGCTGGTATGACACGTGTGATTCATATAGCACTGAACCGGTGTGTCCTAAACTTTTCAACTGTGAACTTGACTCATTGACTTCTTCAGGGTGAACTCAAACATTGTTCTCCAAAGGCCAGATATCGCCGCACCGATTGCAAGTCATTTGTTAAACACCTGACTTGGATTGAGACAGAAGAACAGGGCTTAGAAAAGGTAATATTCAGACTAAAGATCTACAGACAGATGTACATATGTTTATATACTCTAAGTAAGTAGCATAGCATAGCAGAAGGCTATGTGCTGATTGTACAGAATTACTAGAAAGATGACTGAGACATACAAGAAGGAGGCTCAGAGAACAGTATGTACACGACAGATCAATAATCACTCAGGTATAGGGATTACTGGTGATCCGAAAGGAGGAACTATGATACCAAAAGGAGGTAGGGCCAGTTGAGTGGTTCCTAGTCTAAAAATGGACCTGGTGAGGCGGACGGATGGACTAATAGTCAGCTGGACTGATACAAGAGAAACTGGAGGAACTGAGTGGGTTGGAAAAGCAGAGATGGTGGAGGGAGTAGGAGTAGGATCGGTCAGACCAACAGAGCAGAGGAGCAGAGCTCCAGATAGGATCAGATGGTAGGGATATAGTGTCGGAGGAAATAGGGGTAGTGTTGGAGGAGCAGAATAGAGTCGGGCGGAGGTAGCAGGGCTAGTCCTGCTGAGATGCACTTTGTGCATTGTTGGAGGAGGAGAGATGGATCAGATGGGGAAACAGGGGGTCAGACCAGCAGTAGGGATGTTCACATGTGGTATTGGAGGTGCTTGGATCCGGTATATGACAGCCTCTATGCAAAGAAAACCCAGGTGAATAAGAACCTCTTACAAAAGGTCATACCAGTTGTAGGCTGCTGTTAGGTACCATGCTGGCTCAAGAGGCAGAGGGGTCGGGGCTTGGCTTCAGCTCTTGCGCTGCGCCCTTAGCTGAGTACGTGCCCCGAATTTGGAGCGGGTCCGACATTGTCCGACAATAGGACAAATGGTCCGCTTTGGTCCGCTTTGAGGGTCGGGGAGTAAGAGCTGCTAGTGGTGGGCCGACTAGGAGCGGAGCGGAGAAGACGGGGGATGATGCGGAGGGTGGATAGGAGCAGGGAGAATGTTTGTCAGGGGCAGAGAAGGCGGAGGATGATGCAGAGGGACGAGGGAGAATATTTGGATAGGGGCGGAGTATATGGGAAAGACTTAGAGCACGGCTCTAAGTCGGAGCAGGGGATCAGAGGGTCGGAGGTGACGACAAGTTGAGACTTGTGTCCAGAGGAGGCAAGGTCTTACTGAGAATTCTCACAAGATGTAACTGCAAGAAGACAAGTAATATTAAGACTAAGGAAAAATATCTAAGTACAGGATATGTTATATACTTCTATGTGAGGCAGTGATCAGGATAACTATGTAGTAAAGCTATGTACCAAGGATATAGTTTGTAAGTACTTTACATAGGCAAAGACATAAGTCGGAGCAGATATCAATATGTACGTGTCGGATCAGTGATCGGGTGGTAATAGGAATTACCGGTGATCCGGAAGTAAGAGTCTATGTACCGAAGGGGAAAGTATATGTCTAAAAGGGGAAAGGGATCCAGTTGAGTGGAGAGGATTATGGAAGGGGACTGGTTGAGCGGTTGAGCGGAAGCATAGGGCAGAATGCGGGGTTGTGATAGGACGGAGCGGAGGGGGTCAGGAAAGCAGAGCGGATATCAGTATCGGAGCGGTCGGATCTGGTATATGACAGCTGCCTGCTTCAGACCATAGAGCAATGACAAGAGATGGTATGTGAGGATCCCACCATCAGGTGCAAAGTGTTCAAACCCAGGAGGTTGACACATATATATGTCCTCTGTCAGCTTACCCCACAGGAATGCACATTTAGTGTTGAAGGCATTGAGTTCCCAGTTGTTGAGGGTAGCCAAAGCGGAAATGATGCATATGGATGCTACATTAGCAACAGGTGCAAACATCTTCCTTAAGCTGATGCCAGGAACCTATGAAAAACCCTGTGCCACAAGTCTGGCCTTGAAGACTGACCCACCCTTGTGATCCTCCCGAAATTCAAGCACCCATCAGCAACCAATGGACTTATGGTCAGCAGGAAGAGGAACTAGCTCATAAATGTTCATCTCTGACATCAGGTTCATCTCCCATTTCATAGCAGCAAGCCAAGAATCCTGATCAGAATGATGCATGGCCTCATCATACATGTTGGGAGGAATCTTTATGTTGTAACAAAGGCCTTACAGATTACAACAAGTGTCACTATGGATGGAGATGCATGCCAGTGTGGTAACAAAGTCATATACCAGATCTGACTGCTCCGACAATATTTATATCCACTCCACTCAACCCTATACCACTTCCACTTTTCCCCCACTCTGCTCCGCCTGTCTCCGCTTGATCCAGTCAGCCTCTGCATCCACTCCTGCACTTCCACTCAACCGCCTCATTGGTTACCTTCCATATAGGTTCCATTCAACTGGAACCTCTTTCCCCATTTAGGTATATACTTTCCCCTTGGGCACATAACTCTTACTTCCTGGATCACCAGTATTTCCTATAACCGCCCAATTACTGATCTGTCATGTACATATTGATATCTGCTCTGACTTATGCTTTCCTCTGTAGTAATACTTATAAATTGTATACTCAGCACATAGCCTTATGCTATGGACTACTGATCACTGCCTCCTTACTTAGAAGTATATAAACATATCCTGTACTTAGCTAGTTTCCTCAGTCTTAATATTACTTGTCTTCCCTCAGTTTCTACTGGTGGGAATTCTCCATAGGACTTTGCTCACTCCAGACACAAGTCTCATCTTGTCATCATCTCCACTCCTCCACTAGGACTTAGAGCCATGCTCTAAGTTAAACTATTCTTACTTGCCTCCACACCATAAACCAATCCCCTTGTCCCCTTCCACTCCAACTCACTTCCTCCACCTCATCCGCCCCACTCCTAGTTGGCCTGCCACTAGTAGCCTTTCACCCTCAAATCAGACCAAAGCAGACCACTTGTCCTATTGTTAGACAATGTCAGTCCCACTCCAAATTCAGGGCACGTACTCAGCTAAGGGCACAGCACAAGAGCTGAAGCCAAACCCCAACCCCTCTGCTTCTCCATCCAAGCATTGTACCTAACAAACAATTATATTGGCAAGGATGTGAGGAAAGCCAACTTTGTCATGGTTGGTGCGAATAGCATCATAGTCAATAACATCAGTAGTGGTGAGAGGATGAGATGGTGCTGAGAGGAGGACAGGTTGAGGAGCAATGGGAATGGGAGGCACAAGATGTGGAGTGCCATCTGCAGGTGGAACACCCTGAATGCAGGCTTGGTGCAAGTCACATTGGCAATTGAGACATGCTGCATCTGAGGCAAGCTGCTCATGGAAGAGACGACCCTTCTTGGTGGGATTATGAGACTGTCCAGAACAATGAACTGGCCCGATAGATGGGACAGCAGAAGGTGCAACAGATGCAGGAGTAGAGACTAGGTGAGCAGGTGTGCCACATCATCCTCATCTTTATTGTCACTGTCCATAACATGGAAGGGGCAGTTAGAGAATGTTTCATCGAAGATGATGTCATGGGAGTTGAAGAAGCTACCAGCGACAGAATCACAACAATGCCAAGCTTTCACACCTGGTGGGTACCCCAGAAAGATCGCCTCATGTGAATGTGGTCATAATTTCTCCTGCAGTTCAGTGGGAATATGAACAAAGCAACGAGCACCAAAAACCCTCAGATGTGAGACATTAGGTTTCTTACCATGCAGCATCTCATAAGGCATCATGCCTGGTAGAAGGGTGCAGGACTCAATACAGTTAAAGAGGGAGGTTGCACAAAGAGCTGCCTTGTCCCAGAGAGAACAAGGTAAACGAGCATGGCATACATCCTGCCCTCAATTGCGCACATTACTTGTTCTGCCTTACCATCCTATAGATGTGCATATGGTGTAGACAGTTGCCATATGATACCCACAGTCTCAAGCACCGCCATGAACACAGCATTCAAGAATTCACCCCCATTGTCCAAATAAAATACCTTCACATGCAACCCAGACTGATTTTTCCAATGAGCACAAATGAGACACCAGGTATCAAGAGCCTGATATTTGGTGATGAGAAGTTGAAAATTCAGGATGTGTGTGTGATCATCAAGGAAGATGATGAAGTAGCGCTTGTTGTGTGGGGTGATGGTTGGGATTGGTCCACAGAGATCAGAGTGAATGAGATCAAGGAATTGAGCTGTGCGAGGAGACTCAGATGGAGGATGAGGACGATGGGGATGTTTTCCCATAATGCAAGACTCGCACTTAGACAATGCTGAACCTAGGGACACAGTGGCATCAGTGGCAAAGAGAGGTAGACGATGGACAGCCTCACCACCGATGTGACTGAGATGAGCATGCCATAAGTCAAGAGTGGGTATGATGTGCATAAATGCAGAGAGATCAGGCGGAGATGGTGGGATGCTCAGAGCTGTGGTGGAGAGCTGTGCCGACAGGGCAGGCAGAAACTCAAGATTGACATAGTATAAGTTATTCGCCATGGGGATTTCCCCAAGTTCAGTCCCTCAGTACACAAGCTCACATTGAGGTGGAGAGGTCCAAAAAATGCAGTCCCAACCCTTACTGAGAATCTAGCCCACAGAGAGCAGGTTCAACATCACAAACAGTGCATGTAGGCAGTTCAAGAGATGAACACAATGTCTGTTGTCACCAATTAACAGTATGGCAACACAGTCACCATGACCAGAGGTACTCAAGCTGCCATGGTTCACAGTGCAAACAGTGACAGCATCAGCAGTAGAGTAAGACCAGAAGTAAGAATGGTCTTGGATGAGAGTGGTCATGGTCCTCAAGTCAAGGATGGCATTAAAGCCTGCAGTGATGATGCAAGAGAGAACTGTGGTGTCCATGGTGGGAAACATGTCAGCACCAGAGCCTGCATTAGGTACCTCAATGATGGAGGCACAGGAAAGGTCTGCAAGGAATGAATCAGCTGCATGCTGAGTGCCTGCAAAGGCAGAGATAGCAGTAGAGGGAGGGAGAGCAGCTGGTGTTGGGATGGGAAGAGGAATGACCACAGCAGTGGCTGTCTCTTTCTTTTTCTTTTTCCCCTTCATCCAGGGAGCTTGACCTTCCATGCCACCACCCTTCATGTAGCAGTGTGCATGATCATGGTCTCCCTTATTGCAACCAACAGTAGTACAGAAAACTCCCTCAGGATTGTGGTGGTGCTTATGAAGACTGGTGATGGTATTAATGTTGCCAGTGGTCATAGAATGAGATGCCATCACAGTGTTCGCATACTCCAAGCCAGGTGCACCACCAGCAAGAGCATGTTCATCAAGAATACAAGCAGCTTCAGCCAAAATACAGGCAACACAGGCATCAAAGGCAGATGTGGAGGGAAGGAGAATGAGGAGCCTACAGTGGAAGAAGAGCCAGCAGTGGCAGATGCAGATGCAGAAGGCGAGATAGTGGCAGTGACAACAGGAGCATGCATGGGGAGAGCCAGAGTGACGAGAGCCTTGAACTGGGGCCATGAACCAAAACGAGGTAGACTGCACAGAAGTTAGAATACTGCCTCAGCATCAGTGTAAACTGCCCCCATGTGAAGCAGGCACTCATGGAGCACACAATGCTGCCCCACATAGTTGGATGCATCAGCAGCATCCTTCATTTAAAGTGCATACAAGCTCTGACAAACAACATGTTGAGATCCCATCCAAAATGGTCTGCAAGAGTCTGCCAAGAGTCACAAGCAGTCAACTTATGACTAGTCGAGATGAGCTGTTTAACAGAGGCAGAGAGACAATGAGTAATGATGGACTTGGCCTTAAGATCATTGATGAGCCGATCACAAGTAGCTTTCATCTCAGATATGGTAGGAAGCAATGGATCAGCCAGGATAGGCTTGAAAGATGTGTTACCCAAGAGATCATCAGGATCCACAGTGGTCATGACATGACACTGCTGATCCTCAATACCAAGGGCATAGGTAATCTCCCGCTTCCACACGAAGTATGTATCCAGGCCTTCAGTTCTGGGATGTGGTCAAGCTTCCCCATGTCAAAGAAAGACAATAAGAAAATCTCTAAGAAGAGAGGATTACAGCAAGTCGCTGAAACAAGTGTGTGTGTCAGTATGTAGCTCAAAAGGATTTTGTTTAGAAGTTGCAGCTCATAACCTGTAGAAGCTAAGACATGAAACACACTCAGTGTTTGAAGACAACAACTGATTATTATTATACCTAAGACACAAAACACACTGAAGGAAGTATTGTAAGAGACGGCAGGATGACGAGAGACAGAAACCATACCTCAGTGTTTGAAGACAATGACTGAGGTATGAAGGAATGAAGTGGTGTGTATTATATATGCAAGTGCATGTGATAAGTAAAAATAGGAAATTGTGCTATACAATGACGACAATGACAATCCAACAGCAATCACTGGAGTGTCTGTGAGATTCTGTGCAGTGTCACAGAACAGGGTGTGTCTGTGAGTCATTGTCCAAAAGGGACCAAGCTGCCACTCTTGGGCACTGTACAGCAAATACCAATTTACTGATGGCCTGCTCCTTCGCTCGAGCACTTTCCCTCTCTGAGTAAATATTCCCTGCTAGCACTCGACTGGCCGAGGCAAGACAAGACTATCTGGCAATTCTCGGAACAGATATCATGCATGGTGGCTAAGTACTGGCGTACACCCGGCTGTCTGCAGACGAACATTGCTCCTCCTGTTGTGTATCTCGTCTCCCCCACCTCTTAACATCACTTTGAGCACTTATCCTTCGCAGTTACTGTAGCCGGACAAGACTGATACCCGTCTACAATTTGGCCGTTCTTCTGATGCCATCGCTAGCATGTCAACCAAGAACAATGAGCTGCACAATATCCAGAAAGCACTTACGGTCCAATACCGACAGCCCACTGATGAGTCGTCGCCAATCAACTTGGCATTGTGGTAACTGCCAACCTATCAGTTACTGTGTGAGAGATGTGTGGGTGCGACGCACATGCATAATGTGACATCCTCGTTTAGGACGGAGGTGTCGTCTAGGTACGAGGTACTACCGTCGACCTTCAATGTGGCTGGGCACTGTATACACGCATTGGCGCCAACGAGGAAGCTTAGCAGCGCAAATATAATGGAGCGGGAAGTAAACATGACGGAGTTTGTGAAAGGGAATGAGGCAAAGTCAGAGTAGCAGGCAGGTTTAAATCCAGTGGGAACGTAAAGGCGTTGCTCGCTTGCCTTAGATGCACGTACTTTGGGCAAAACCGGTTGCATGATAATCCCGCAGACTCTGAACGTCGACATCATAAGAAGTTGGCGTGGCAAGTAGTCAAACGGAGGTGCGCGGCCCGATGGTGCGAAATTCAAATGAATCTCCATTTTCTGGGCGACCTTAAGGGGCTTCGCGTTGTTCGTGAGATGTGCACGTTGTGACTTCCTAAATAACACTCTCCGGAATATGCAAATCCTTGAATCGATGAAGCTCGGCACGGCTGCACCATATGGAGATGCCAAAACTCCTGCGCAACATTTGAGTTTTGCTCTTCCGCAGAAGGTTCGTAGACGTGGTCAATAAGAAGGATCTTCGTAGAGTACGAATGTTCATGGACAGGTGTTAAATATCACGGTTTGACCTGTTTATAACATTGTTAGATAGTCGCTCCGTAATTGAGCTTGTTGGAAATTTTCCATGATTGTGCTTATGGAGGGCCGTCTCCGCCCTTCGGACAACTTCATAGCTGCAACACCGAGGCCTGGCTACCGTCACGGAAGGCATGAGCAGGATCGTAAATAAGGCCGATGTCGATCGCTTTCTGCCGAGGATATGGGGCGGAAAGGGGTACCAGGCTGAAGATCGCTATCGCTTGGGTGTGGCCACCAAGAACTCGGAGTAGGATGGATGGCATACTAGTAGAGGCCAGGAGGGTTGTATCGGAAGCCAAAGTAGGCCCGTGATAATGAGAGTATGGAATCTGTATGACAAAAAAATAATTACCTTATCACTGTATCAAAACGAGTGGGAAATTGGACCGGCTTTCAGGAAGTTCAGATGTACCAGGGTTTAACAGTTGCTCAGGGTCTCCTTAGCGTTCTCACTTACATAGTTTAACGATTGTCAGTTAGCAGGCATGGATTTATAGACGTTGGCAACGAAACTCACCGAGTAAAGTAAAATCACAGGTGAGAGGAACATCAGATAAAAAGTTGACAGTTGATATTGCATTGACGAATACAGCTGAGGGCTCGCAAAGCTTTTATTACGGTAAGAGCTCGCCAAGGTAGAAAAGTGATGAGCGTATTGCACCGCTAAGTAGAATTCCAATGGGGATGGATTTGGGAGAGGTAGTAGATGAGAAGGACCGAACCCAGTCGCTGGAGTTGCCGAAGGTGATGAATGAATTGCGCGACGAGAAGACGCCCTCGAAAGATGTGGCCACAAAGTATGAAAACACGCGCCTCGGAAGGTGGAAAGTCCTCCGTTGCAGAACTAGTGCATAGTAGTTTGGGAAGCGAGAGGCGAGACATTTCAGCTGCAATGTACATCTAATGCACACGCACCTCAGGAGTCGAAGAGATATCTGCAGCGATAGCACCGTGAGAGATCGTGAGCTGCATAGTACATGGATCTCAGTTTCGTGAGAGATGTGCAAGCGACGATGCAATATCGGCTCGACCTGGTCGGTTGCGACACCGGCACCGTAGGGCAAGTCCTCTACCCTGCAGCAATATGGTCACGTTGGCAATAAGTGTAGTCAAGATACAGCGACACCGGTCACAATGCGATCATACCCATCGTCGTTTTCCACGGTTTCCGAATCAGCCTCGTAAGTGATGACGGGTCAAAGAATGTGAGTCGGATTCAGTTGAAGGTCGTAGCCAAGGCCCGAGGTACTTTGTAGTCTCCCCAGAGACCAACCGGAGGGAGATAGTCGTTCCTTCGCAGTAAAGGGAAACTCCAGACTGCTTCAATCATGGGTCATTAATACCATCATGTATGTTGACGCACAATGCATTTCTCGATGACATATTCGCAGCTGCTGCTCACATTATCACAGAACTACGTGACAGCGCCATACGGTATTGCCAAGTAAGTTCAATTCTTCGGATGCTAGGGCGCGCATGGTGGGGTCGAGATCTTTTATGAGAGGTGGTGTTTCTTCGAGGGAGTACTGTGGCAGCATTGAGCCAGGACCCACGAGGATGGTATGAGAGATCACAAACGTGACGAGCAGAAGGCCATGCTTCATGGAGGGACTCTGATTATTTGAGTTGACGTGCGCGTGCGATATCTTCTGAAGATAACATATCATCGGACTGACATCGGGTATATACCAAGTTTATGCTTTAGATCACAGTTTGCTAGCAGTTCATCCCTAATTTTGATGCGCGACCTAGAGGATGCGGGCACCATCTTGTTCGATCTGGCGAATGACATGGAATGTGAAAGGATGGACGGGTGGTGAAAAGACAAGCCGATGAGGTTTTATTGGCTTATGATAGCAGCACAGAAGGCAGAACACAGTGGAGAGTCGTGAAGAAGGCCTGAGGTTTCTGCGAAAAAGGTTGTTTGGTTCAGAAGGCTTTAGCAAACAACCACCGTCCAAAAACAGATTGAACGTCGAATGTCGTACACCCACACAGCAGCAGTGTTGTTACTAACCCGTTAGAGCTAGTTCGGCAACAAGATGTTAGTAAACTTCCAGTTTTCACTGGGTCTCACCGCCACGCGTCCAATGATTTATCGACTATTCGGGAGCACTCTCAAACATGCAACGAATAGACCAGATTCTCGATCACAGAGAACTGTGGCCTCGGTGGGAGATTCGCCACTATTTCCATCCCAGGCGCTGGGCCCTCTGCTACTTGTTATCAGCACCCTGCCTCCTGGTACCACCACTACTGGCACTCTGGCGTGATGCCCCTACATCTTCATTGAACAGAGTAAATGATAGGCTGGCAGTTACCACAATGCCAACTTGCCAGGCCAATACGCATCAGTGACCTGTGAGTATAATACTGTAAGTCCTTTCTGTATATTGTGCAGCTCATCGTTCTCGGTGACATGCTAACAATCATCAGGGGACCGGCAACCTTATACAAGGCCCAGGGGTATAAGTCTCGTCCAGGTAGAGTATCTGTGAAGAACAATTGCTGAAGGTGATGTGAAGCTGTGAGGGAGACGAGATACCCAACAGTAGGAGCAATGGTCGTCTGCAGACAACCGGGTGTACGCCAGTACTTAGACACCATCTGTTACGAGAATTGCCAGATTTTTAGTCACGGCTGTTTGTGAGCCTTGCTCGTTATGGGTAGTATCGTGCTCTCGAAAACCTCTCAAATACCTCAGGACTTCGGTTGTATTCATCTCGACGTCTTGCAGTCTCCATTCTCTGCTTTCTCTGATCGAAACAAACACTTCGCTCTCACGTCGTTTGATCAATCGCATCGAGCATTAACGTGTCACGTGACTCGCGACGCTGATCACAATATCACTCACTTTCAAGCTTCAATTCACGCTGTTTCGATCCTTTCGCATTCCAGAGACTTCAGGCTCTTTTCTTATTGCTCAGCTAAAGCCGAAGCCAACACAACCGAATCCCCTCCCCCAGCTGGCGAAACTCGTATCAAGTCTTCACCACACGAAGGTGTCGTCAATCTCACGTTCAGCGTGCCGCACAAAATAATAGCGAATCATTGTATTATTTTGTTTTTATTTCCACCACTTCCAGCTAAACGTTGCGGCTAGTAAGCGTCTTTGAACGAGTGAAAAATAGTGGTTGCGCGACTCTCTCCCAGACAAAGCTCGGGAGAGTCCGCAATGCAAAACCAATTGCAAATCTCCTTCATTATTTTCAACACAGCACCTGTCTTCAAGTCCCACAGCCGAAGCGTCTTGCCGTCCGAGCCCGTGACCACGGGCAAAACTGCTATAGCGTGTATGGCGTCTGTATGATCTTTGAACCTCTCGATCGGGCGTTGTGCTTGGAATGAGCTCTGACGTTTTGCTGGGGGTCGAGGTGGGCTTGGATGGAGAGATTGTAAGTGTCTTGCTCTAAGCTACAGAGGTGCGTGTACTGTGCGTTTTTATGCTGCTTTACCGCATTAACCTACCTCATGTTTTCATAGACGCCCAGGACATTAGAGGCTGCAGCAAGAATGCTCCCTGTTATCATCCGCACCTTCCTCGAACATAATCCTCCCTGCACCTCTGCACATGGCTCCAAATTGTATCCCCACAGCTCTCAAACTGTGTCACCTCGCCTCAAATTGGTGTACAGTGCAGCTGGTCCGCCGAAATCTGACTGTTAGTGCTCAAGGCCCGTCGAATGTCACGATCGCTATCTATCCTACAGGGATACATGAATCATGTCCTGCTCCTCCCGTCAAGTTTTCGAGCTGCCACTCAAACACATTGCATTATAACCTGTCCGAGTAGTCACATCTCGCGTACTACATCGTTGCCCTGGTCACATTCTCATGAAACTGGAATGAATTTAGCCCCCGATATCACTCTGGTTATCCCTTCAACTCTTGGGATGCGTGTGCATCGGATGCACAACACAGCCGAAACGTCTCGCGTCCCAAAGTATTACCAGTTCTGCAACGAATAACTCTCCGGACTATCCGCCTTCCAAGGCGGATTTTGTCCCACACTTTGTGGCGATATTCTTTCGAGGGTGTCGCACGAGCACTCTGCTTGTCGCTTAATTCTGTCCTCAGTTTCGCTAATTCCTGGAAACCGGTTTCCGTCTTTCTCATCTGTTACCCCCCTCCAAAATACAGCTCCATCGGAAATGTGCACTGCACAAGTAGCGGTTCGTTCAATACGGCCATTATAGTCTACTAACCCTGGCAAGCCCACACCGCAGCCGAAGGAGTGTTCGGGAACACCATCGATGAATGACAATCATGCAATGAATGGATCCAATCCTTGGACGACCGAGAAACCAAGTGAGTATCACAACATTCAAGAGGCCGTGATGTCAGTTGCAATCCAGCCAGTACAACAGCTTGGCACGCGATGTGTCGTGGTAAAGTTGCATCGATTGAAGGATGGTCATATCACGGAGAGTGTTGTTTGGGAAGTCACGACGTCCGATGAACGTGGACATATTCGACAAACAACGCGAAGCCAAGGCTGCCCAGCAACCGGAGAGCCCGATTCATTCATGCCACACGACCCCATCGTGCCGTACATTTCCCTTTGAGTACTTTGTACAACAGTACTTCTCGAGTCTGCGGAGATTATAATGCATTTTGGCTCAACCGTTTTTGCTTAAACTAGGGTATCTCAGCAGCAAACCGAGCGACACCTTTACGTCCACACCGGAAGTTTTAGGCTATAAAACACCTTCCTGCTACTATGACTTTTCCTCATTCCCTTCCACAAACTCCATCATGTTTACTTCCCGCTCCATCGTGTTTGCGCTCCTCAGCTTCCTCGCTGGCGCCAATGCGTGTGTACAGTGTCCAGCCGCATTGAAGTTCAAGCCTGGTAATTTTCTCGTGCACCTATCCGATACCATCCCATACCCAGATCCGGTCACAGAGTGCTAGTGTGTCGCGCCCACACATCTTCGTTGAACAAAGTAACTAATAGGCTGGCAGTTACCAGAGTGCCAAGTTGAATGGCGGCGTACCAGTACCCTGTGGGTATTACACCGTAAGTGCTTTCTGGATATCGTGCAGCCCATTGTTCTCGGTTGACATGCCAGCGGTCATATCAGGATACCGGCAAGTTTGCAGGAGGGTATGAATATTGTCCATCTACAGCAACTGTGGCGAAACACTGCTCAACGTGATGTGAAGAGATGGGGGAGACGAGACACCCAACAGGAGGAGCAGTGTTCGTCTGCAGACAGCCGGGGTATGCCAGCAGATCAACATCTGTCACGAGAATGGCCGGATAGTCTTATCTTGCCTCGGCTGGTTTCATCCCAGCCCCCTGTTAGAACACACACACTCCCCCCCCGGGTGATGATAAGTACTTATAATCATCCCAGAAATCAGCCTATCAATATTAATGTTATTGTTGATGGTCCTCCTTCGCAATACCTTATACCTCACCATCTCACAGCGCGGAATCGTTGATTGATCCGAGAATCTTACGAGTGGGCTCATGGCACGTCTCTCCTTAGTCAGCTCGACCGACCGTTCTCGTCTCGTGATACTATATCTTAATGCCACTCCATCATCTTCTTCAACATAGCACCTGTCTTCACAGACGAAGCGTCTCTTTGTCCGAACCCGTGGCCATACGTCGTCTACGTAAAACTGCTACCGCGCGTATGGTACCTTGATGATGTTTGAACTCTTGAGCAGGTGTGGTGAATGGAATGAGCTCCGATATTTTACTGCAGATTGAAGACGGTCGAGGTGGGCTTGGGTTCAGGGGATATTGTAAGTGTCTTGCTCTAAGCTGCACAGGTGCATGTACTGGGCGTTTTTATGCTGCTTCGCCGCATTAACCTGCCTCGTTTTTTTAAAGACACGCATAACACACGCATAACACATTATAGGCTGTCCGCCTCCACACCCCCGATATCTGGCTGCTAGTGCTCAAGGCCCGTCGAATGTCACGACCGCTATCTATTTTCCAGGGAAACATGAATGATGTCCTGCTCCTCTTCTCCAACACATTGCATTGTAACCTGTCCGAGTGGTCACATTCTCATGAAACTAGAAAGCATTTATCTCCCCGTATCACCCTGGTCAACCATTTAACTCCTGCGGTGCGTGTGCATCGGATGCACAATTCAGCCGAAAGGTCTCGCGTCCCAAAGTGCTACCAGTTCTACACATTGCATTGTAACATGTCCGAGTGGTCACATTCTCATGAAACTGGAATGCATTTATCTCCCCGTGTCGCTCTGGTCATTCCTTTAACTCCTGTGTGCATCGGATGCACAATTCAGCCGAAAGGTCTCGCGTCCCAAAGTGCTACCAGTTCTGCAACGGTGCGGTTTTTTTTCGTCGGTAGCACAACGAAAATCCTGCTAATCAGGATGTTCAAAAACGCTTGGACCGCAAGACCGGAAGTACATTGGATAACCTAGCCACCCCATCTTCAGTTGCGGTTGCGAGACTAACGTTTCCAAGGTATTCATGTCTGGCGCATTTGTGATTTACGTGGTGGACTCGCAGATTAGTGAGCAATCCGTACACCCGGCTGTCCGCAAATGAATATCGCTCCTCCTGTATCCCGCCTCCCCCACCTCTTCACATCACGTTCACGAGCAGCGATCCTTCAACACATTTGCTGCACGCGGACAAGATTGATTCCCAGCTTGAATCTTCCCCTTCGCCTGATGCCATTGCCAGCATGTCAACCGAGAACAATGGACTGCACAATATCCAGAAAGCACTCACGGTGTAATTACAGTACACTGCTGATCCGTCGCTAGTCTTGCCATTGTAACTGCCGGCTTATCAGTTACTTTGTTCAATGAAGATGTGAGTGCGACGCACATGCAAAATGTGATCTTGTCGTCTACAAAGGTATCGAATATGTACATGTTAATACTGTCGACCTGCATTTTGGCTGGGCACTGTACACACGCATCAGTGCTAGCGAGGAAGCTAAGTAGCACAAATATGATTGAGCGGGAAGTAAACATAATGGATTTTGTGGAAGGGAATCAAGCAAAGTCATAGTAGCAGCAGGTGTTTTATAGGCTGAAACTTCCGGTGGGAACGTAAAGGCGTAGCTCACTTTCCTGCTGAGATGCTCTACTTTAGGCGAAAACAGTTCAGCCAAAATGCATGATATCTCCGCAGACTCTGTGAACGTCATGATGTGGCAAGTACTCAAAGAGATATGTGTGGCACGATGGTGCGAATGAATCTCCGGTTCCTGGGCGACCTTGATTTTGCGTTGCTCGTTAGATACGTGCACGTTCATCGGACGTTGTGACTTCCCAAACAACACTCTCCGTAATATGACTATCCTTGAATCGATGAAGCTCAGCACGGCCGTCCTATAGATGCTAAAATTCCTGCGCAACGTTCGAGTTTTGATCTTCCGACCAATCGTTTTTTTACATCCAACGTGACTGAGCGCAACATGATAGGTATCGATTCCAATATCGCTCACAACGATGTCTGAGGTCGCGGGCTCTCGCGTAGGTGAAGGTGTAATACATTAAAGTGGCTGAGAAAAGTGGTGGACAAAGAAGACAGATGTTGTTGAAGATAACGAACATGGCGCTTCCCGACCTGTACTTTATTTATTTAATCTCACGTGATCAGTCGCGAGTCGCGATCATGTAGGTGTGGTTGATGGTCATCAGATTCGTGTACGATACAAGTACAATGCTTATGCAATTTGCAAGGGTGAAGATCGCAATGCTAAAGGTGCGTATGAAGATGCAAGTGATGCGATATAAATGAAGAATAATGATAATGTCGTGTTCCAGTGAAGAGGTAATGCTTATGCTAATGATGATGCAATGAACAAAGTATGTGACAACGAAAAGAAGGATATCAAGTGAAGATGTCAATAGACATTGTATCCGCTCGTCGACGCGGGCTGGTTCATCGGGTACGTGGTGTTGTACTGGTACCTGCAGTTGTCAAAGTAGCCCGAGCCATTGTTCTGCAAAAACTCCTCGAGTACGTCTGGTTGGGAATAGTTCAGATCGTTTCCGGAGACGGGCTGGTACGAAAAGTTGGCATCGGAGAGGGGCTGGCACTGAAAATTGACATCGGGGACGGGCTGGTACTGAAAGTTGACATCGGGGAACAGCTCCGACTCATACTGCGGCATGTGGAAAGTGGAGAGATCGACGGGGACCGTCGGTGGCTGGAAGTGGTTGGAGGTGGGGATGGGGACCGGGAGCTGAGAGGGCTGATTATAAACGGAGGAGAAGCTGTCCGCTGAGAGATCGGGGAAGAGTTGCTCCCAGGAGAATTCGGCGACGTCGCACGAGAGTTGGGGGAGACTGGAGTCGCTACTCTCAGCGGGTGAGGGTGCGCAGCTGATGAGGCCTGCGAGCTCGGAAAAGGTTAGGGCATTGACATCCAGCAAAGCAGGAGTCTCTACCTCTGCCCTTATAGGTCGACGGGAGGGGTAAGGAGCGGTGGCGGACTGGCGAGCAGCTCTACCACCGTGATTGCGACGGACTTTGGGCTCGTAGCCGTGTGATTGCTTGCGGTGACGCGTCAAGGTACCCGGATCGGTAGTGGCAAACGCACACCCAGGGTGAGGGCATCTCTTGGAGCATTCGCGTGTGTGGGTCCTGATGTGCGTCTGCACGTTGGACTTTTGGAGGGTCTTGTAATCGCAGTCAGGGAAGGGGCATGCGTGCATACTGATGAAGATAGTAAATAGGTCAGGGATCATCTAATGTGGTAAGGGACGAGCGCTTACAGAGCCTCCTTGTTTTCATCGTGTGTGCGCATGTGTCTGGGAAGATCTGCCTTGCGGCTCACAGTCTTGTGGCACACAGGGCAATCAACAGGTGTCTGTGGAGAAGTTGTGATGAGTACAAGAGGGGTGAGGCAGGTAGGCTTAAAGCGTACATGAACACGGTTTGCAGCAGGCATCTTGTGATAGGGTTTGAGAGAAGAGAAGCGTTTATGGAAGATCTGCGAGATTGGATTAAATCCCTGGAGTAGACAAATAGCGTGTGTGTTGTGGCAAATCCACACATTTTGTGGACTTCTTTTAAAGCACCTAGCGTGCTATGGACATCGAGTACGATTGCTTTCTGCGGCGCGCATTTCTGCCTTTAAAGGCAAAAAGCGCGAAGCAATCGTGTGCGATGGTCTGAGCATAAGGGACGAGCCACTCGGTTAGCGGGGAAGGCAAAAGAGTTGGGAGAGGCCTTGATTGCCTCTCAACACTTTTCGTTTTTTTACCTTGTAAGGTAATTTTTGGTTCCCTTGTAGATTTCGGGATGAGTGGCTCAGTGCTCAGGCCATAGAACCGGGGAAGTGATACAGACCCATCACTGGAAGCTGAGTTAATCATCGACCTCAAGGGACGTCCAACAAAATCCAAGGTATTTGGGGATCCTATAGATTTTTATGCCAGTGATATTCTCCAGGAAAGCGTGTCCATCTGCATGAATGGATCTTTAGAAGACGGTGAAGAACAACAAGACAAAGTTAGTGAAACACCAGCAATGGAACATCGCTTACGTTATCAAAGGTTATCAAAGCTTGAGCGCTAATCATCATATGTACATAGCCAGCAAATGTACTGACATCTCCTACGATAATCTTGTTCACAGTAAACTAGAAGTGTTCTTATCAGCAGTACAACTTCGTTCTTGCAGACACATTCAGCTTTGCCTTTCTCCTGCTAGTCTGTTATGCAAGTGCTGCGTCAAATGCACCATGCACGGAAAGCGAAGCATCATGGAGTGATAACGCGTTCGTAAACAGATAAAGTGAAAGAAAGAAAACAACAAAAAAGGAGCCCAACTGCACAATTCCTAACAGTTCTCCCCTCTCCTTCGCCTTGAGTTTCTTGATCTCCAGCTCTACTACCCTGGCCTGGTTCTTGGCCGCCGAGGATTGGAGTTTCAAATTCAGCGACATCATCGCTGCCGTAGTAGACTCGTGTTGTGCTGTTTGCGTCGCTGAACGCAAGGAGTCGAGTTCGCTGGTGAGTTTATCAGCATCTGCCGTGAAGAAACACAACTAAAGAAGAAAGCAGAAGGGATAGGAAAACGCACCCCTACATTTCTCCAACGACCTCTCTGAACCTTGCGATTGTCCCATCTGCGTCTGCCACTACGTCTTCTAATAACCCTACTCTGACCTTCTCCCTCAGATCCTTCGCGCGCTCTAAAATATCATCTCGAAGCTCACGCTCGACTTGAACATGGTTCTCTTCGAGTTCGTCCGTGAGTTCCTTGAGGGCCTCGAGGTCTTCGATTGTGATGCGCTGTTCTTCGATTTTCTGGGGAGGAGGATGAGCAAGTTTGAAAAATGCAGAGGGTTTTTGTATGGAGGCCACATTTGTGGGCCGAGAATAAAAATGACATTCCAGGAGGGAAGGACGAAGAGACCGTCACGCCCGGCACCAGCAGGCCGAACGCGTCATTTTCACCTGACCCCGGTCGTGGTACTAAGCGCTTGAGTCAACCCAAGTTGCCGCTAAATAAGACTTTCTCAAGTTTCTGTTTACCTCGATGTTATACTTGCAGGATGCATTCGCCTGTTCATCTCCTGGTTGAGCCTTACAGTTAGGACGACCGTGTTTCGGACATATAAAAGTATCCTCTCTGTCCTCCCGCGATTGTTTCGATACTGTCAAGTCGTCATTGGCGGAAAAGAGAGAGCTTTTCGAGGACCGAGGTTAGCGACAACCGACCAGGAGAAGGAGACTCATGGGACCCTCGCGGTGCCGTTGCTTAAAGCTCCTTCACAAAGTGAAGGGTCGAATCAGCCAAGCATCTACAACATCGCCCATGACACCACGCCAACATATTCTGCGACTTCCAACATCTACACCACCGCTGGTGACACCCGTGACGCTGACACATGATGACGCGCCTAGCATGCACACCACTGTGGTTGTCACCGCGCCACCAGATACTGTGGTGACAGAACAGTCCCCTCTGACTCCCATTATACCCGGACAGATAAAGTGATACGGGAGGAAAGACACGTACGCATATCATAGTCTCGACTGTGTTGTCATTCTAATCCATACCCACAGTCAAGTTGGGCGTGAAGTCTATGAGGCTCCGAAAGGTCCTTGGACTGTTCAAAGTAAGCATGCTTGCGACAGAGCGAACAATGAGATTGAAAAAGAAGACACATCACTGTACGTGTGTGACCTCTGAGATCGGCGATACGGTTGCCTGCACGCATTCGTACCCGGTCTCGACTGGTGCAAGGATCATCTCTCTGCTTTTCACATTCAACTGCATTGCAGTCCCAGCTGCAGATCCCAACATTTCTTGACAATCTCCACTCCAGCGAACAGAGGACACACCTTTTGTGTGTCCTGTCCATTTACCGAGGACATCTATCAATATCCCATATCCTCGTCGTACCTTTTACTCCCGCCCACCACTTTCTTCCCGTCTGGTGACAACGCTATGGTGCATACTGCACCTTCTCTGTCCTTCCAATCGTCCCCTATCTGTTTCCCATTCTCCAAGTCCCATTGCCGCAGCGAGCCGTCGTCCGAACAAGTGATGATCCACTGTCCGTCAGGCAGGTGTACGACGCCCCGGACGCAGTCAATGTATCTTTCGAATTTCTGGTAGGGTTGTATCCATTCCGTCCCAGCAGTGGACGAGGACATAGGCTATTACCTGAGGATTGCAGGTAGCTCAATTTGTCCGCTAAAGTCTAGGCCATCACTCACAAGTAGGTGTTTTATCAGGACCCGTAGGGATGGATGACACACTGAGGTTGAACGATGTGTGAAAGTGAGCGTATCTGGTCGATTCAGAAGTCGAACTATGTTGTTTACTCGCCTTAGTCACAGATCACGCCACATACAGTGGCTATGGCTGTAGACCCAGAGTGGGAAAGACTGATTGCAGACCCAGGCCGGGCAAGACTGGTTGCAGACCCAGGCTGGGCGAGACTGGCTGTTTTGGTGTTGGTTGTTGAGCTCGAGACCGCTTGGCTTGACACGTCCGCCTTGCTGTGCTTCTAAGGTAGTAGACTGAGCAGATGGTGCGCCATTCAGGCGGGCCCTCGTTGAACACTATTGTGATTGCGCATAAAGATATCTCTGGTCGTGCGGTTGATACGTTCATGTGGAGAACTTCCCTACGTCATGAAGTATAGTCAAGATACATACGTCTAACCTTGTTACACATCAGTAAGCAAACCCCTCCCTTTTCACCTTCCCAACCACACCCTGCATAACCTCTCGCTCAAATCCTTCCGGGCCACAAACATACACACCATCTTGAGATTCAACTGTGAAGTTGGAAAGAATCGAAGAAGTGATCCGTCCAGAATGACGATGAAGCGACGCTGAAGCGGGCAAGGAGCTTTCGAATTGTTCAGTGCGCGAGAAGACATGAACGATCAATTTGATTTCGCGCGGAGCCAGTTTGACGGCATTGGAAAGAAGAGAGAGCATCACATCTGGCTCGCGCGTGGACAACAAAAGGGTGATTTCATACTCCGTGGAGCACGAGGACATGCCAGAGAGCATAGCGAGGAAAGGCGTTATTCCAATCCCGCCGGCTATCCAAAGGAGTTTCCTTGGCGCATTCTTGCATACAGATGCCTGTTCTTCCTCGCATGCAATAGCAACTTTAGCGCCCTCACCAGGGCCTGGGGGCTCGAGGGTGAAGTCTCCTGCTATTCCGACCAGCTTGACACTCAGCCCGAGCGGACGTGAGTCCTCAAGAGATTCAGGGCGGAGCGCTGCGAGTTTGTTGGCAATGTTAAATAGTGCCTCAGTAACGGCCCCACCGGGCTTCAGGCGCATTGTCAAGGAAAATGCTGTGCCTCCCCCATCCTCAACAGCAGCCCACGAGCTACATCGCGAAATGGTCCACGTCCTGATACGATCGTCGTTCAATGAATTCGGGTTATCGGCTGACATGTGCCTGTATGGCATTGCACCTAGAAAAGAGGTGAAATCAAGGATGGCAGCTTGGCCAGGGATGATATCAAGCTTGTGAGGATATTCAAATGTGAATGTGGCTAGATCGGAAGAGTGAAGTTCAATGCGGGACAGCGCGACGTGTACGACGTCTTCGGTGCTGAAGTATGTTGAAGAATTTTGTTCTTCTTTGAGCAGCTTCACAGGGGGTGCGTATATACTCCTTTGCGGCTCTGTGCCTTCGTGTTGACGGACGGGCAATGCGTCCTCGATAAAAATGTAACCCGTTATTTCAATCGTAGTGAGGGCATTCTGTGAAGGCATGATTTCTTGAGCAGGAGCGCCAACGAGGTTATGAGCGACGCCGGTAACATATAAGAGTGAGCCGTCCGTGAATGATGGGAATGTCAGAGAAGCAAGAGGTGTTACTTCGATATTTCCGAGCGATGACATTAATCGGTTGCCTGGGTATTTATAGAGAATTTGTAATCAATTAAGCATGTGAACACAACACAGTACTTACCTGAGTAATCAGGCAAGACGAGAGTACGCCCGTCGTTGCGTACGCGAACAAAACCAGGTCTCCCGCCGCGATGATTCATGCCGAGGTGAGATGGAAACCTCGGGGCATCTTCCCCAGAGGCCGAGTATGATGAACCTAGAAATGTGGTGTCGGATGAAAGGACGAAGGAGATGAGATCTAAGGGGAGACGGCCAGTTGGGGATAGGTTGATTTCTTGATGAGTAACTCGAGGTTTCGCATGTGGAAATGGAACAAGATTGCGGATCGTGATATATTTCGGGCAGTTTCTGTGGAGAGTCAGCACATAACCAAAGGCACGTTCGAGGAATCCAACGTACCCAAAAGCTTCGTTAACAGTTGTACGTATATTGAACAAAGTCCCTTGCTGTTCAATAGAGCTGACCGACCCTGCGAACTTGTTCCTGCGCCTCGTGGAGAACTCTACGCCGATACCAGCAATCAACATCTCTCTCGGCATCTCATTTGCACTCTCAGCATGATAGCCTACATTCGCCTTGAGCGGATCACCGTCCCAGACCTCTGCCCGCATCGACAATTGGTCATAGGTCTCGCTAGAAGCCCACCCGATCTCTCCATTTGGACCTGCAAGTACTGAAGACCAAGGACGACCCATCGAGTCGAGAGTGGTGACAGGAATAAATGGGAGGCGTGTCGAGTAGAAGATTCGGTGCTGCTCAGGCATCTCTCCGTCAATTTCGGTCCAGGTTTGGGATACGGCTTCATGGAATCCTAGTTTCTGCTGAAGTGCGAGTTCACCTTTGTGCCAGCCATTGAGAGTAGTCATTGTGAGTGGAAAATGCAATGGTAGGGATGGTTACAAATGCTGAAGAAGACGAGATGACGCCATTGGAACGACCACATGATCAGACTTGGTCACATGGCAAATATGAATTGCGCGTTGAATTGGCGGAGCAGGCGGGAATATTGAGTTGCAAACAAGCACAAGTTCGGGAAGTAGGATAACCATGCGGATTGCAGTGCAGTCGAGGGCAAAATGGAATTATCAACACTACAGGATACTGGAGCGACAAGCTGCAATGAAAATGTGGGGATGAAAATCGACGCATCAGAATCGCAAAAAACATAGTGAAGAAGATAAACTGGACCCGCAGCGGGTGAGCGACAAGCTCTTGCCTAACCTCAACTTAGTCTCAACCCGTAGTGGGCGAGTGTCGACTCGATATTCTGTTGACAGGCAGCATATACGCGGACATAGGACGTACGCCTATTACAGGATGCCTGTCGACAGAGAGGCGCATGCAACTAGTTTACCATTATGGTTCGAAACTGCAGCAGCTGAATCCGCTTGGGCAGTGACTGGTTTAAGACTGAGCGACTGGTCACTACATGAGGTTCGGCGATGCGAGATTGTGAAATGTACTACACGGGGAATACATAGCATGAAACTTACCTGACAGCTCCCTTAGCTTGAACACCGTGAATGTAGGATACGCCGGCGAGATGTGGTAGCAATTGAACAAAATGTTCAGCTGCGGCAGATGCCGAGTGCCTTGACTGTTGTTGATGTGCTCACTGCTCACTTGCTTCGTCTTCACCTCCAACAAATTTTTGGCCTCATGTCGATTCAAATACGCATTCAAAGGGGCTCAGACCGGATGAAACGAATTGAATGTCGTAGTACATCATGACGGATACAATGTAGTAGGTTTACCTGTTGTTTCTTTTGTGATCTGAATTCAAGCTAAATTCAGGCCAATGATTGTTGATATGAACAACCTACATATTAATTTATACCTTCTGTCGCTGGTTGGTATCAGTCCTCCCGCAGTGCTGCTCTATACAATATTAGGTGAAGTACGGGGTGCTCCTTGACGCGTACCAACCTCAATCCCCGCTGTCGTTGGGGACCGAAAAAAAAGAACTCTCTGGTGTCATTGTCAACACATCAATTCTTCTGGGGCTTCCTGTTCAACCCGGACTGCAGTGGGAACGTGCCCCGTTAACCAGGTGTGTACGTGGGCGCCAAGTATCTCTTTAGTAGCAGGCACGGTCGCACTTCTCCCCAATTGTTGCAACACTGGTAGGTGCTAGAAGACAAGTGCAATGGCGTATCAGGACCTGTGAAACCGACCCTTGGCATTACAAGTCATTCCTCGGAGTTCCGATGTCGATTTGGCTGACGCGCCCAATTAATCACAGTACTCTCACAGCGACACTAGTAATGTCACGCCAGTATTCCAGGCACTTCATTGTTATTTTAGCGCTTCGCTGCTCGTGCTTGTGTGCGTGAGCATTTGAATCGGCGCATCGGCGCGGTTGACTGGAACAGTCGTGTGAATTGGAATGTTTGGGCGGCCCGTCGAAGCACCAGAGGAAAACCAAGGAATGAGGGCATGTACAGGCACTATCATCGGAGCAAAACATTTGTTCATCTCAACAAGTTCTGACTCGCTGGTACTCTTCGCTTTGTTCGGGAAGCTAAGGTTCACATCCTTGATATGCGTTGCCCGGGAATATCGTGCTCCGGACTGTTACTCTGGTAAGACGAACAGCAGATGGGTCTACGATCAGTGTTCAGAGAGCCTCTTGCCACATGTTCTCTTTGACCTTCACACAGTGAGCTGCAGAGAAAACGAGAAAGTCGGTGTGTCAGTGGTGAATCTTGTCGAGATTCGAGAAAGTGTGTTCTCGAAGTGTTTCTTAGAGAGCAGAATGCGATGACTTAAATGATATTCAGATTGTTTAATTTTACGACTCATGCAGTGCCGTGGTCTGGGGGAGAGTGCTGCAAATGTATTTCGTCGGCATCGTAAGCCTGTGGACGTGTGACCGGACTGTTATTTGTGTGGCGCATCATTTCATGCTGTGGCTACTCGTATGATGATAGGATAAAAAAGCCTCATACAACCGCGCCGGGTAAGCACGCCATTCTTATTATCCTCTTGGAATGCGACACATGCTGACTCAAATCCATCTGGGGATTGGGCGCTAGCGGCCAGCGCATTCTTTCAAGGCAGCCGCTCTAGCTTGGTGCACATCGCCCACAGAACGACAGAATGGGCTAGATAGTCCCAGAAGTTGTACCCACAGCTGCGGTGCATCCTAGGATTACGTGTTCAGCTGTGTCTAGAATATGTTATCAAGGTTCGCTTTGTAGGCGTCGTGCGCACTGTATATGGAAACAAAGCTGTGTCGTCGTTGAGTCACCTCGATGAAGACATCGCTTTCCAGGGGCTTCCCACCTTCACCTGACCGACTCAATGGACCCGAGGCTTCTAAATGCTAGGATGGCGCCACTGTGTCCGCGATTGGGCGTGCCATTCTTGAGCATTAGGAGGGACTGTTTTAGCCTTAAAGCGCTGGCCAGATTCGTACCATATAACTATGGTAGCCTCTGACAGCCCTCCCAAATTCCAACTATTACCACCCATCCTCTGAATCCATATCTCATGGCGGACGACTCTCAGAACGGTATTGAGCATCATCCAGAATATTATCTTCGAGATGGCAACATCATCTTCCTGGTACGTTGCGATATCTTTCTTGCATCTCACGCGCCCTGACCGCCACATGTGCACAGGTGGAGAACACACTCTTTTGTGTTCATAGGCTATTCTTTGAGCGCGAATCCCAGTTTTTCATCGAGAAATTTGCACATGCTCCCCAGGATGGAATATCTGATGACAACGCGTTTCTGGTCGAAGGAGTAACAAGTGCCGACTTCGCGAAGCTCCTCTGGGTCTGGTATAGCCCGTAAGCTCCCAGGAAATTCATTCTCCTGCAGACATCGTCATTGACTTGAGGTCACAGGAAGTACAGACTGGACAATAAAACGTCAGAGCACTGGCTCGTCATACTCGAGCTCTCCACGAGGTGGAAGTTTCTGAGAATGAAGGAGCTGGCTGTCGACCAGCTCCAGAATCTCGAGATGGACCCCGTGGAGAAGATCGCCATTTATAACAAGTACGAGCTTGATAATTCGCTGCTTTTGCGTGAATACAAGCATCTTTGCACGCGGGAGGGCCGGATGTCGATCGAGGAGGGTGAGAAGGTCGGATTGCCCACTATCCTCGGTATACATCAGGCTCGCGAGCGTGCACTGATGAGTGCAGTGGCACAGGGATGTCGCAGCCCGACTTCCGCTGATGTAGATGACGAGGAACTGGAAAAGATATTGAAACATGTTTTCAATCTCAACATCAGTTCCAGTGCCAGATCACGACGTGGCGCAGGTGATCAGGTGCCGTCAGGAAACACTGACCGCCAGGGTGCGCAGTCACAAGGGCAACCAAACTCAGCCTTTACCAATAATATACCGCGGCCCGATGCAAGTTCGGTAAGTCGGGATCTTCCACCAAATAGAAGGTGTCACTTAACTGACTAAATATAGTCATCTCAAGACCTCGATAACCAGAATGATGCTGCAGGAATGGTATGTCGCAACTCACTAAACGTAAGTGATACTCAAGAAATATAGGATAGAACCAGATAAGTGGCGAATCGAGCGATGATCTGGTAGCTCGCCCAGGTGAAAGTTTGACTCGTGTTGGGGCCGCGAACGGAGTGATACCTCATATTTCCATTTCAACATTCATCGAGTTCGTGATAGTATTAATGGTGTTGGCTTATCTTATCTTTTGTGTATGAAGTTCTTGACATTGGCAGTTGGTTCGTTCCGTAGACTCAATGTGCCCAGCCACATTTGACTATCATATCATCGTGCGCATCGCCATTCCGGATCCAGACATGTGAGCGCACAGTTTGTAAGTTGTGATTCAATCGAAAGCTCGACGTACCAGAGCTCGCGCATGCACGTAGCCCCGTGTGGTCACACTGAATAACATCCTGGAATCGTTTGCATCCCGTCTTATTCTTCCGCGTAGGTTGGAACAAATCGTGCATGTATGCTTATCTTCTGTGAACGATCTGGGCTTCACGTATGGGGCTTGCTCGGAGAGTATTGGAAACGACTCACAATCTTCCAGTAAATCTCGCTAGGTACGTCACCGTTTTATAAATGTAACTGTAAGGAAACGAATCAATTCCTAGGTGACGGCTGTTCCTGCCCAACATGAAAAAAACCCCACCACCCGCCGATAACGCTGCTTTAAGCTATTTTCGCTGCGGGAATCTCGTACTTAGCTTCCCCATTTCGGATGTGACAATACGGAAGGTTGCGAATTGCACTATCGCAAGTGGTGTTCCGAGCCTCCGCTTTCCCTCAGTATATAATCACTTATATCTACATAATTGGTGCGTACCTGGATCCCATCCTGGGTTGTCCTTTGTGTCGTCAACTCTCCTGGTGCTCGAGATAATTTTTCTGTCCTTCCTCGGTTTATTGCGGCGGAACTTGGTATCTTCGTCTCTCTCGTCATCAGCGCCCTCCTCTTCGTGGTTTTGTAGCCGGCGCTTGAGTGACCGCTCGAGCTTTGAACCGTCAGAGGACCTGATCAAGAAGGTTTTGCAATTTGAATTGCTGGTCTATAATTAGCGGCGCCGGCGGAGGTACCGCATCAGAGCTGCGGACTGCATGGAGCTGAGCCTAGTTGAGCATATAATTTCAGTCCTAAGGCAGACGAGCACCAAGTTGAACAATCTGAAAAACCGGTACTAGTCCAAGACAACAGGAGGTCCAGGAGCGTGTAAGGGAGGCCACTGGTGCATCCGTAACCAGTCAATCAGTGACCAACTGCTCGTTAATGTCATGAAAAGTCCTGAAACTGCCGTGGTAGTCGGACCGGTCATCGTCGAGTCTATGTCCTGACTCTGCCTCAAATGAAAACAAGAATTGGTTCACCTTTCCCATGTTGGCGGTCAGCTTTATTCAAAGGTCTGACCGTGATATTCTGCAGAGGGAATTGACCATAATTGGTCCGTAAATGTGTACGAAACATGAATGATGACACATATGCTACACTCTGCATTTACAGGTAAAGATCTTCAGACCAAGTTTCAAATTTATTCACATCCCCAGTCAAGCTCTCAATTTTCTCCCTTGCTGAAGCGATGACCTTTCTGTGCAGTGGCAGACGCATAGGAACATCATGAAGGTGAGTCAATTTCTCGATGGCCACCGCTGCCTTGTCCGCATCTCCATCGACCTTGTCCGAGGCGATGAATTGCCGAACCTGGGAGCTGGGCAAGGTGGGATTGGCGTAAGCAGGGTGCTGGGAAGTTACGCGTTGGTTCTCTTTGAATATCTTGGTGCGGAATGGACCTGGCTCAATTATTGTGACCTTTGGAAAACAAATGGTTGGTAAGTCGTTAAAAATCAACCATCCCAGCTTACCTTTATGTTCCACGCAGGATCGAGCTCTTTTGCCAAGGACTCGCTCAGACCTTCCAGTGCTAAATAAATTGGGTAAGCACCTCCGCCCTCAAAAACATCGAGTATACCTACCAAATTTTCTAGCGCAATGCCATGAGATCATGACACAGCACGCCACATTACCAGGAACACTCACGATGCACTATAGAAACCACTCGCAGGGCCACCTACCAAACCCAACCTTGACGAGACCTGCAGTAGTCTCCCACCCATTGGCTTATTCACTTCTCGGAAAAACTTCACCGCTTCCTTGCTCACATACATAGCGCCCCAGAAATTTACGTCGAACATCTGACGGGCCTCTTCTTCGCTCACGGACTCCATCTCTCCTGTCACGCTTTGACCTGCATTATTAAACACAACGTCAATCCTTCCGAAAACTTCTTTCGCTCTCGCGAACGCAGCCGCGACACCCTCGCTCTTCGTCACGTCAAGCTGAATGACCAAGAGCTGGGAGGATGTGAACTGTGCTGAGAGATCTGATAAAGCATCAAGGTTGCGAAGGGTCGCTATGACTTTATCGCCCTTGTTAAGCAATAGTTCCGTAACTGATCTCCCGAACCCTGACGATGCGCCAGTAACTGAAGCATACGAGATATCAGCAATCATGACGAATTTACAGATTTCACTTTCACCCACTAAACCAAACCTTTGTGTCTGCCATATCTCCAGTAGGTACTTGCAGAGACGAAGAGGAATGAAAGGAAGCGTGAGATGTCTATCAGAGCGAATGCAAATGTAAAAATAGTATACATTAGCAATACGATTAGGTGATTCTCACGTATTGATGGTGTCAAGAACAGAATCGTCAATGTAGGAATTGGAAAACGGTTGATTCCAATCTCAGGGTCGTTTCCGAATCTTCGATAACCTGACACGGGAGTGAGTATGACGCAGATATGAATTGCGAATGGGACTCACCGCGTTGATGTAATCGTGAAATCCGTCCGTTCATCTGACCGGCGTTTGCATCAGAGCCCTGGACCTGCGATCTCTGCCCATGTAGGACAGAAGCCTTAGATTGAATGTGCAGCTCCACGTTGAGCTGACGAAAGAGAGCTGATCTGCGGGATGACACCAGTGTCCCGAGCCCTGTCTAGGGTACGGACGAAAAGTCGGACGGTTGTTATAAAAACACATGTGGCATATTTCTGGTGGTATAAGTCATTTGCTGGCCCTATGACATCTATCGTAGCGTAGAAGGTCAAGTTTAAGAATGGTCAAATAAATGCGAAGTTGGAGCTAAATTTTGCATCGGTGTTCGAACAGGCATACCTGCTTGAACCGCGGTGAACCCGCTGTTCGGTCTAGCTGGAGGCTGGACCTTGAACTGGACATCGAGACCAAACTGCGGCAGCACTATAAATACTACTGCTGTCAATTTTGGTCTGGGTTCAGAAGAAAGCGAGATTGCACGGGGTCAGGAATGAAACCCCCCCGTTCTGAGTGCTGATTGACCGTTACGACTCACATGGGAGGAGAGTAGCCTCCCGTAGGCAGACCCAATAGACGGAAGACAGTCGTTCCTTGAACTTCCTTCTCAGGTATGATGATTAGCGCTCATAGTTGATAACCCTCGATAACGTAAGCGATGTGTTTCACAAACTTGGTCTTGTTGTTCTTCACCGTCGTCCGAGTCTTCTGAAGTTCCGTTCATGGAGACGAACAATTAGCACGTACGGCGCACTATCCTGGATAATATCACTGGCATACAACTGGACAGCGTTCCCCGAAATTTTGTCGGGCATCCCTCGACGTGGATCAGCTCTGATGCTGTATCACTTCCCCGGTTCTATGGCCTGAGCACTGAGCCACTCATCCCGAAATCTACAAGGGAACCAAAAATTACCTTACAAGGTATAAAAACGAAAAGCGTTGAGAGGCAATCAAGGCCTCTCCCAGCTCTTTTGCCTTTCCCGTTAACCGAGTGGCTCGTCCCTTATGCTCAGACCATCGCACACGATTGCTTCGCGCTTTTTGCCTTTAAAGGCAGAAATGCGCGCCGCAGAAAAGCAATCGTACTCGATGTCCATAGCACGCCAGGTGCTTTAAAAGAAGCGCGCAAAATGTGTGGATTTGCCACAACACACGCGCTATTCATCCACTTCAGGGATTTAATTCAATCTCGCAGATCTTCCACAAACGCTTCTCTTCTCTCAAACCCTATCACAAGATGCCTGCTGCAAACCGTGTTCATGTACGCTTTAAGCCTACCTACCTCACCCCTCTTGTACTCATCACACCTTCCCCACAGATACCTGTCGATTGCCCTGTCTGCCACAAGACTGTAAGCCGCAAGGCAGATCTTTCTAGACACATGCGCATACACGATGGAAACAAGGAGGCCCTGTACGTGCTCGCCCCTTACCAGATCGGATGATCCCTGACCTATTTACTATCTTCATCAGTATGCACGCATGCCCCTTCCCTGACTGCGATTACAAGACCCTCCAAAAGTCCAACGTGCAGACGCACATCAGGACCCACACCCGCGAACGCTCCAAGATATGCCCTCACCCTGGGTGCGCGTTTGCCACCACCGATCCAGGTAGCTTGACGCGTCACCGCAAGCAACTGCACGGATACGAGCCCAAAGCCCGTCGCAACCACGGTGGTAGAGCTGCTCGCCAGTCCGCTGCCGCTCCTTACTCCCCCCCTCGACCCATGAAGGCAGACTTAGGAGACTCCTGCATCGTCGGATGTCAATGCCCTCACCTTTCCTGAGCTCGCAGGCCTCATCAGCTGCGCACCCTCACCTGCTGAGAGCAGCAACTCCAGTCTCCCCCAACTCTCGTGCGATGTCGCCGAGTTCTCTTGGGAGCAACTCTTCCCCAATCTCTCAGCAGACAGCTTCTCCTCCGTTTATAATCAACCCTCTCAGCTCCCATTCCCCATCCCTACCATCAACCACTTCCAGCCCGCGACGGTCCCCGTCGATCAATCTACTCTCCACATGCCGCAGTATGAGCCGGAGCTGATCTCCGATGTCGACTTCCAGTACCAGCCCGTCCCGATGCTAACTTTTCGTACCCGCCCGGAAACAATCTGAACTATTCCCAACCAGACGTATTCGAAGACTTTTTGCAGAACAATGGCTCGGGCTATTTTGACGGCTGCATGTACCAGTACAACACAACATACCCGATGACCCAGCCCTCGGTTTCGAGCGGACACCACGTTTATTGAATCATTCACTTTTTATCCTTTATTTCGTTGTCACATACATTGCATTATCATTGGCATCAGAATTACATCTTCACTGGAACACGACATTATCATTATTCTTCATTTATATCGCATCACTTGCATTCTTCATACGCACTTTTAGCATTGTGATCTTCACCCTTGTAAATTGCATAAGCATTTTGTATCATTAAACGAATCTCAATGATATTACTATCAAACCTCCAGTCACGACTGATCAGATTGATTGCATGTCTAACTTATCATTTGAGCTGTACCACTAATATGTAAGTAGATTCTGGGCGCTGAGCGTCTGTAGTAGTTCTACTCAATAATGAGTCTGTGCTTCCAGTTTATATCGACCAGTAATACTCCGTGATATGATGCTTTAATACAAACTACCCTCGCTCAGCGGGATTGCTGGGGAAGAGTTCATCGGAGATTAAAACATTCCAGCGAGGCGCTTCCCAACGATTGTCGTTTCTACATAGTTCCGACATCGAATGTGATCTTGCTCTTATTGAACCAGAGTAATACACGTGTAACGGTCTTCGAGCGCTAGGCGTCTTCGTGTTTCAGCCCCAAGGAAGATTTTTGTTTGTTTTCCAGGTCGTGAATAATTTTAGTCTCCAGAGTTAGCTTTGTCACCATCATCAGGCCTCCTGATCATGTCCGAGCCAAGCTTCTGCTTACTAGCCGTCCTTTATGGGGACGATTCAAGTTAAAAGCCAGCTAAGTAGTGCTACCGGCCTCATCAACACCAACCATGACCACATCTCCCTACACTATCATCGGGACGCCATTCAGCACCTTCACCCGATCTATCACACTCGCATTGACTTACAAGGGATTACCCTTCAATCAAGTTAGATGTGTTCCACATTCAGACACAGCCTATGACAACCATCCGTTCGGATTTCTACCCACACTAGTCATCCACGAAATTGATGGCAAACCAGTCAATCTGAAACTGCGCGAGAGCCCAGCGATCGCGCGCTTCATTGACAGGGTCGCACCAGAACCTAGCCTGCTCATCACCCCGGGCCATGGGAAGGCCCTCATCGAGGAACAGATGTGGGAGTTTGTTAGTCTTGCTAGTGCACATGGTAAACTTTAAATTTCAGTCAGACATGCGGTGTTGATAACGACTGATTTTATGCCTAGGTCTCCCTGCCGTTGAGAAAGGGGTCGTGAAACCCCGCGTAGCTGCCACCGACGCAGGCAACCTTACAGATTCTGAGATTCGCGAACAAATCAAACCAGGCGTGGAGCATCTTCAGAAATTTCTTCATCAAATGGAAGAACTAATGGCAGACGATGGCTATGTGTTCGGAAGCAAGCTGAGCTGGGCGGACTTCTTTTTGTTCCCGCTTCTTGCAGACCTGAAAGCAACCCCGGAGGGCGAGTTGCTTTCGCCCAGGTTGCTGAAATGGATGGAGGAAATGAACAAGTTGGAGGCAGTTCAGGTCACCACTCCGGGCACCTTGAGTGTTGGTGCGAGACCCCCTTAATCACCCAAGTTCAAGCAGGTATGATATTACTCTCTTTGGCAATCATTTTCCCACTGACTTGGAGACAGTGCAGCGTACTTGGACAGAGTCTTGTGAAGTCATCTTTCGATCTAAGTGTGATATGTAAAACTTATGTTGACATGTTGTAAATCTTTTAACCAGATATATAAGTCCTGAGATCTAGAAAGTGCATGCTCCTTCCTACCACTGCTTCATGTGTGAGGCCTCACTGTGATGAGTGGACTGCAAGATAGTGAGGACTTTACGATATCTGAGTACAGGCTGTGATACCATACGATGGCATGTAACTTTTACAATATTGCGGTTGCGCTTCCACGATGCAATATGCAACGTCACACTGTTATCTGTATATGGCTCATGCGCTACCGTCTTATACGAATGAAGGGAAGTGCATGCATAGTTCAATGCAACGACTCACTTTCACCGCGGAATGATTAATCCTCATACTTCTAAAGATCTATCACAAGTCCCCTGTCCCCCTAGAATTTCGCGGCATTCAGCCGTTTCTTTCGTGTGGCATCTCGTGCCCGCAGCCTATAGGAGTCATCTTGGGATTGACTTCGAAGTAGAGTACGTACGCTAGCATACATATGCACCCACGAAGTTTGCATCGCTTAGGTTAAACCGCTCACAGATACTATCATTCTGGGTAATCTGCAACTGGCATGTAATATGCAAAACACCTCAACGCGCTGCTCGACTCACTTCAAAAAAATTCAGGCATATGTAGACTACTTATAGATGATGTAAGTAGAATGAAAAGTGTTGCAGCTGCGAGAGATGAAATAGTGGTAATTTGTAACCATGCAGGAACATAATCATCCAGATCCCATAGATCCTACATATATATTCACAAAGTTATACCTGAAGCATAACAATCACCTCGTCAGGACGTTTTATTGCCTCATTTCGTATCTAAAAAGTAAGGGAGAACGGTATGGGGGAAGGGGTGGGAGACGGGTATTCCGCGTAGCGCACATGGTGTCGGTAGGCCTCGCCAGCGTCAGCTGGCGAAGGTTAGATACGGTTATTTCGCTAAGGTGGCTGAAAAAAGCATCCCACGTGGTTCTGTCAACCGGAGTTTGAATTTCCGAAAACCATTGTCCCCTACTATACGAGCTCACTGTCCAAAATTGGGAATTTGTAAAAATTGAGCCACAATGGGATGCACCAAGCAAATAGAAAAATGTGAAAAATGCGAAAATGCGAAAATAGAAAGATGGGATTGGCAGGTGCTCACTGGCCCTCCATTTTGCACAACAACAATGATTTTATGTGTACTGTAACTGTGATACATGATGATAAATAGTAAAAATTGAAGGACAAAGGGATTTTGGGATTTTTTTGGGGAAAAGAGAAAAGAGAATACCAAGCCAGTAGAAAAATGTGAAAAATGCGAAAATATAAAAATGGCAAAAATTGGCAATGGGTAAACAGGAGAATGGAAAGATGGAGAATGGAGAAATGGTAGGCAACAGCAGGACTGGAGAACAATGGGAGAATGTGGGGAGAATGGGAGGATGAGAGGACAGGACAACAGGAGGACAACAGGATGGGAGGACAACAGGAGGACAATGGGAGGATGGGAGATGGGAGGACAGGACAACAGGACATGGGACAATGGACATGGGACATGGGTCATGGAACAATGGGACATGGAACAACGGGACACGGGACATGGGACACGGGACACAGGACACAGGACATGGGACAATAGGACATGGGACAATGGGACAGTGGGACACGGGACAATGGGACATGGGACAACAGGACAACAGGACAACAGGACAATGGGACACGGGACAACGGGACAAACAACAGGACAACAGGACAACAGGACAGTGGGACAGTGGGACACAGAACCATGGGACATGGGACACAGGACACGGGACACAGGACATGGGAGATAGGAAATCAAATAATTGGGAGGAAGTGTATGAGTCAATAGCATGACACAAACAGTTTGACTGAAGGTTACCTGGGACACTGGCTTGCATCCCGCTGGCCGAGGCATGAGGCCATGGGATCGCAAGCCAGTGTCCCAGGTAACCTTCAGTCAAACTGTTTGTGCAACATCCCATAACTAAAACAAAACTATATAATGTAAGAAATTATTGATTTGTTATAATTAAATAATATGTAGACACAGTGAGACAAGGCACCAAAGGTGCCTCCAGCAGAGCACGAAGTGCTCTGCTTGCTTCCTGTGCCGAAGGCACAACGGGCTTGGGCTAGTCATAATATTATGGGAGACCGGTTTTGTGGCTGTGTGTGGGAGACGCGTAGCTCGCTAAAGGCCACATGGGAACGCTTAGCTCGCTTAACCTCGATTTAGAAATTTCGCGTGGTTCTGTCAATGTTATGACCAACATCCCTTAACCTAACTAGTAGGTGTCTGGAGATTGTATCACACCACAGGACTCGTCTGAAGAGGATAAAGCAAGGATAGATTTGAGAGGGAACGTCTAGGCCTACGATGACGTAAGAACGAAGAGGTTAAGTCTAAGGAGTACTACTGACTACAACCTAAACTATATACTACTCTCTAAGCGGAGATATCTGAGTATGAAAGGTAGTGATATATCTATATAAGATCATAACATTGCGCCTAGGGTTCAGGGCGTCTTATCAACCAATCAACTACAAGAAAGGGTCCATAAGGTTTAGGGGTATCGGTGATTAAGCAGGGTTCTCAGGGACTGCTTCTATTCAGGGTAAGCAGAGATTTAAGAAGGGTGAGAGAGTTCTGTGACAAGAAGTCTCAAGCGGTGATTAAGGATCTTGATAAGAGATAGGATCTGGAGATGTATCGGGTGCGATCAGATCTAAGGGTTTCTCCAGGGTCTTCGGTAATGAGCATGCTTCTCTATGAGTGGCGCTTCTGTGATAGGGTTCAAGGGTTTAGCTGTGACTGTGCAACAGGTTCTAATGTAAGGGGTTCGGTGAATGACAGAGGTAACTCTTAACATGTCATGTGTGGGAAGTGAAGGTCTGCAATGTGAAGGGATGATGACTCTTCGAGAGATAGCTCATAAAGGACTCTCGGTTATGGTTTGATCATAGAGGCATGTAGATGCTTATGATGTAACCCGTTGCCTAATCGTAGGACTTCTAAGGATGTGATGAGTTCGTATGTCTAGGGTTACAGATATAGATGGATGACGTTGATATAGTATAGATGTGAAGTGAAGATAGTGATCGTTAATCGGTTATCCATCTTATCTTATCAGGGATCTATCTAATCTAATCTTATCGGATAAGGTGACTTAGGGTTTGATAATCGAAATTTAGATGCAGTTGGTAACATTCATGACAGTCAATCGGAGTTTCAATTTCAAAAAAACCGTTCTCCCTTACTATACGACCTCACTGTCCAAAATTGGTTAAGCCACAACAAGGGGAGGAACACCAAGCAAATAGAAAAATGTGAAAACAACAATGATGTATATATGTACTGTAATTCTGTATACATAAAAATGCGAAAATATAAAGATAGGAAAAATGGGCAATGGGTAAACATGGGAATGGGAAGGTGGAGAATGGAGAAATGGGAGGAGGAGGACGGGAGGATGGGAGAATGGGAGAACAGGAGAACGGGAGAACGGGAGATAGGAAAGCAGAAAATAGGACAGAGACACGGGAGAATTTTTTGGGAAGGGCAAGAGTCAACAGCAAGACACAAACAGTGAGACTGAAGTTTACCTGGGACACTGGCTTGCAATCCCGTGGCCTCGTACCTCGGCCAGCGGGATGCAAGCCAGTGTCCCAGGTAAACTTCAGTCTCACTGTTTGTGTCTTGCTGTTGACTCTTGCCCTTCCCAAAAAATTCTCCCGTGTCCTCTGTCCTCAGAACTAAAATAAAAGTATATAGTATTTTGTAAATGTAATATGTAGACATGTGCCGAAGGCACAACGGGTGTGGGCTAGTGCGAGTATCTTAGAGGATGTTGGGCAATCATTAATAATCCTACTCAAGCATGTGTGTCGGTGATGGAAACTGACTTGCGTGTGAAATAATCTCCCATGGTAGAATTTCGATGTTAGGTTGATTTGAGAGTGATTGTCGGATAAGAGGCTCCCTTCTCACAATTGGATACCAGCTGAAGTAGACTCGGAATATTGTACCGGGACCTAATTAGTTTTTAAACCTTGAAAGTTCGAGGAGGTGAATTTGACCCCTTCGGGCTCTGTCCATTTGAGCCTCTATAGATTTCGCCGAGTCCTAATAATGACGGTGCCAACGCACGGTGAAGTTTGAGCATCCTACGAGCTATCCACAGAGACCTCAGACCAGTGAGTAATACACAAACAGTTGGTACTCTTCGCACAGGCATCTTAACATGCTCACTAGTTTGAAGGATGTTCCCATTCTGGCAAGAACCAAGGGAGATGGACTGAACATATAGCATCGACAGCCGAGACTACCTGTCTCGTTATTGCATTTACACATGATTTGTTGCCTCTGCAGAATACGGATGGATCATGATAAATACAAGAACAGAGTGCAGAGTGCAGAGGACTGTGCTGGTCACTTTCGAGAACTATCACGGATCAGCTTTTGATCCGTCAACTTACCGTGTTTCCACATCTCACCGGTTCGATACCTAACGTGCACAACTCATTAGAAAAGTCGACGCGGTGTTCCAGGGTACTCTGGTCTGAGTGTACTTGCAAGATAGCAACAGCTTCAAGTGAAGGACTTCGTCGGAAGCAGGGAAGAAACGGTGTATCTGCATCGTCTTGATAGTCAATCGTATAGCCAAAGTGGCGTGAACCTCAACAAAGGACATAAATTCAAAACAGTTGGAGACTATCGCTCCAGAGTGTGCACACTGTAGTTGACGATGATCATTCGAATAGCTGTCACACCGCATGTCAGCAACGCCGTACTTCCGAGTAAAACTACGCTCACCTCGATGTCTGCAACTGAAATACTTAGACATGCAATAATGTAAGCAAAGGAAGAAAAACGTGGCAAAAATGAGTCTCAATCAATTTCAATCACGTCGTCGTCTATCTTGTCATCCTTGCCACTTAACATGAGCAGCCCGTCCTCCTCTAACCTCCTCCTCTTGCTGGGACTCGCAATATCCGGTATTGCTGGTGCGCCATTCGTATCCTTCTTCGCGCGTTTGGCAGATGGCTCGACTTCCGCAATCTCGTCATCTGGAGCAGACCGTTTGCGAGATGGTGCAGGAGGGGGGGTCAACTGCCGCTTCTCGAGGCGAGGAGGCGAAGGCAGTGGCGACGGAAGTATGTACGCTGGACCATCAGAAGGATGATTAGGTCTGCGGCGCATGTTAACCAAAGGCTCAGCAGAAAATCCATGTCACTTACGGTAGTACACTCAGTGCGACTACAATCGTACCCCACTCCTCATCTTCATCCACGATCGTCAAGAACTTACCTCTCCCAACGTTCAAACTCTCCAGTGTCCGGTCAAGATTATCGTCCCAATCGGGGTCACTGAGGACGCGCTTGTCTTCGTAAACGCTAACCTCCCTTTTCTCATCACCGAGTATGCCGTCTACAAGTTCACCTAATGTTACACAAGCAGGGTCGCACAAAACTTTGGTGTAGGTGTCTCGGCAGACGCCGCATTTAGGATTCGGTGCGCACATAGTACTTGTGCTGAGAGGGTTGGTTGGCTTGAACTGCACGTGGACATTACGAAGTTGTGCGTATGACTTGCGGAGGAGGTGGACTGCTTGTAAAACTATGAGGCCGGAGATGATGGCGTTGGTAGTGGCAATTGCGGGAATAATGTTTCCTGCCATTTCTAGGGAGATATGAGTGGCGAAAGAGAGTCAAAGACATAGAAACAGACCTTTGACTTCCCAGCGTGTCTTGCGATCGATGTAGTATGCCGCAGAACGAAGATTTGCAGCAGCAGTAACGAAATCGAGCGTATCATCATCATCTTTGTCGAAAGAAATCGTATCTTCACCTTTGCGAAGCCGTTCGGCAAGTCGATTTGTACTACAACTCTCGTTTAGGAAGCTAATTAATTAGATGATACCTGTGCCAACCTTGATATGAAAAGCTCCAAGGTATCGTGCAAACTGAGTGCCCGTTGATCTCGTAGTCCCGAAACTCCATTCAATGAACTAGATGACGAGGACGTCGAAGGGGTCTTTCCGTTCGCATGACCGTTCGCTGGCTGGAAGTGGATGACCTGTGCACTCCCGGTAGTCGCGCTCGAATTCGAAGGTCGTTGTATGACAAATCTCCCTTCCTGGATAGCATGGAAATCAAGAGGCGTTGGCGCTGCACGTGAGCGCCACATGTCAGACATTGATAACAGGTTGAGGATGTCCGAGTGGAAAACCTGTAGGGCATCAATACTTCAGACAGTTTTTGGACACGGTTTAAAATAAGACCTTCTTGAAGACACGTTCAGCCACATCCTCCGTTGTCTGCATTGAGCGGAGTGCACTCCGGACTGCTTTATATGCGAGCGCCTCTTTGCGTAAAGCGGCGATTTCTTCGGCTGTGTAAAATGTTCCCTTAGCGATACAATCAGAGCCTCGTGGACGCAAAAGCTACCGTTTTCTCCTTGCTTTTCCGCTTCATCGAGTTCGCCTGTGCCATCTTCGTCCTCACCAAATAGTTGCCTAATATCACATTACAGCATCTGCTCACCAAAAACACATTAAAAAACTTACGGTAGTAGGTAGCTCTTCGCCCAGACAATGCAATGGATAGGTTGAGACGGTGTAGACCGGATCGTGCACACTGGGAAAGTCGTCGGGGTAGGTTTTGGCACACAGTCAAAGCATTCTGTGCGATCCTAGATAATAAATTCTTCAATAAAGAAAGCCGCGCAGCCTGAAATGTCCTATACCTTGAGCAAAGGTTGCACTTGGCCAAGGTACCCGGCAGTGCCAGACTCGACTAGAGGAACACCAGTAGCCATGCACATCTTATTAACATGTCTTCGCGCATCTGGAATGCGATTCTGTCAAGCTACGTTGAATCTGAGTCGTCGTTTATCTTTACCGAGATTGTCTAGTGCGTTCAGAACGATATCGAAACCACTGAACCATTCAATGTCGAACTGAGCTTCCTTTATGTTTGCATGAATGGGATAAATGTTGACGCTGGGGTTGAAAGCACCAGCAGTTTGGGCTGCTACCTTGCGGTAGGATGGTATGTTACCTCGGAACAAGATCTGTCATGTTAGTGGCTTACCGTGGCTTTGCTGTGTTTGATATCTTTCTTTTTGAACAGAAATTGCCTATTCAGGTTTGAAAGGTCTATGGTGTCTAGGTCAAGAAGGGTTATGTGGCCGAAGCCAGTCAAGACGATATTCTTCACTGTTGCATATGATATCATAATCACGGAATATGATGGAAATATGTTCTTCAAAAACTCACGAAGTTCGCATCCTATTCCTCCTGCCCCAACCAGTAAAACTTTCGTCTCAGACAGCCTCCCACAAAGCTCGGGACCCAAGATGGCTTGTGCATGGGTAGATCGAGAAGTCTCGCGAGCGCCGTTGATAGTAGAGGTTGTCATTGTACTGGATGTAGTTAAGTATGGTTTCCTCGAAAAGGGCCTCGGAAACGGTGACCTGTGCACTGCTTGGCTCCAGGCTAACGACTGAAAGAAATCAAAGACAAGACAGCGCCGAAAAGGCAGAGGCGTGACACAATATTTCTTGGTCACGCGTCGGTCGTCACGCGTTTGGGGGGTGTCACACCGCTCCTAGCATTGAATGCACTGAGCTTACCAAAGTTTCTCTAGTTTGGGTTTATAAACCATGGTCATCGTACAAGTAAACAATCGTAGCGGAAATAATATCGTAGGGTACTTAAATTCAATGTTTCCACCCTACTTCGTGACCATTTTCTATCATCGGCTCTACGAATCCTCGAAACGTCCACGGAGGTAATTCAGCAACGACTTCTCCGCTTTCTAGGACACCGCGATCCTGGGACCAGCGCATGCCATATCCTTCTTCCACTCGTACCTCATATACCAAGACTTGATGCGGCAGCCAATGGAGATTTCTCCAAGTCGAATTATCCACTACTCGTTCGAATAGTGCCAGCGCACGATCATTGATGGAGGGAACTGAGCCGGAAGGGCTGCCCCACCACCCCGTGTTTATTTTCATCTGTCCTTTGTTATTTCTCTCGACCGGCAAATCCTTTGCACCTGGCGTCTCTCCTTGGGAGCGGTGTGAATGCTTTGACCATGCACGAGCGCCAGCTGTGAGCCCCGCCTTGTTGGGTATGCCGAATGCTGTAAAGCATTCCTCTCGTGTTGGTGGATCAGATCCTAGTGCAGAGCCGACGGTATACGCCAGGCCATTCAATAGGTGTCTTGATAGCGGGTCAAGCGTTTGTTTGAGCTCATCTAGCGGCTGAGTATTATGTCGGATCAACTCCTGGACTCGAGAGCGTTCAAGCGCTGCAGATGGTAGCTCCTTGATGTTGAAACAACGAGGGATAGAAATCAAGAACCTTGACCGCATATCAACATCTGACACTGTCATGGGCAATATATATGCAGCATTCAGTTGAACGTAAAAGCTGGATTACATAACAAAATTTTAGTAACTGCCTTGTCGCAAACTACTTGCTACTAAGATCGTGCTCGCTCGTCTCAAGATCGCAATGGCGCTGCTTCGTTATCCTAGAATCAATTATCGGCAGAATGGCACACTTGCCGCAAGCTTACCAGAACTCGTCAGTGACATCGACACGGAACCTCGACATTCTTTCGAATACTCATACAATGCATTCCCTGGGCCGCATGTCAAAGTTGATCGCAGAGCACAGGGTTACCAATGTAACGGAAACCCTGGGTATGCGATTTTTTTTTTGGAAAGATGTGCTCTCTTTGATCGAGTTCAAGAGATAGGCGAAATAGCTGTCCACGCCACCCTTTTGTTATGAAGTGAAAGACAATTACTCGCGAGTCATAATATTGGTGGGCGGAGCCTCCTGTGCTCCATCGCCCCGCAACTGAAGCATCTGGCTATTTGCAATCCCAATCAAATCAACCTGTATGAGCTGTCTCGCCAACTCCCAAGGGCTTCCAGAAAGCATCTAACTCCAGTTCCAAGCGCAAAGCCGCTCGATTTCCGCAATCCTACGACAAGCGAGCATGGCCAAGGGTCAAGACCGAGGATCCCGCTCTACGCTGCCATAATGTTTAGTCTTGCACTGGTTAATTATATCCTTGATCCCGTCGTCGTCGTCTTTCATATCGGTTGTGCTCTTATATGGTCTGGATCTGGTATTATGGTCGGCAACTGGGGACTATTCATTGTTCAATGCTCGGGCTAACAACTTTATAGACCTCCCATGAATTCACGCTGGGCGATTCGGGTCAAAACACGCTGGTCGACCGAGTTCGGCCGTGATGTGAAGCAGGGTTTGTCCACAATCACAGTCGATGACGTAGATATCGTACTCATGCCTGCGACGAAGAAAATGTGAATCACTACGGATTAAAAGGGCGTGCCACCAATGTGTTTCTTGTAACCACTAGCCGAGCTCGCCGAGAAATTCCCGACGGTTAAGCGCGCTCACGTTCTCTACGTCATCGCATTCCGCATATTCTATCACATTACGGAGCTCCGCAGCAAAAACACGTGTTGTCAATGCATCTTGTTTACACGGTCCGTCGATTTACGAAGCTCTCCGTTGAACTGATGCGCGCTTTAGGGCACCGTGATCTCTGGAGGTTCATCCAGATATTTCAGCGCTAATAACATGATATATTACATGTCCAAGACGGCGATGGGTGTCGTAAACGACTGCGGTCTATCCCTGTTGTCGACTGCGGGTGGTTCTGAGGGTAACGAGCGCATGAACTCAATACCATTTACAGTACATACTTAGATGTCTTCGCCTGCTTGTGGACGAAAAGCCTTTGGATCCAGGAGTCAACAGATAAATTAAGATTTTGAGTAATAATTCTCACACATAGCAGAGCTATACCATATACCACATGTATAGTATCTGTTTCATGTGACTTTGAACAGCTTTTTCAAGAACCTGTTACTGGTTCACCCGGGTAAGTCGTCCGCGGATTGTCCGTGGTGTTGGTTGATACTGTCCTGGGCAGGCCTCACCCGTGCCATACCCTACATTGTACTGATGTATTAAGCAGTGTATGGACGTCACTTTTTCATCCCACCAAGAGAAATCAAATGTGAAGACTCAGACCCAGAAGTCGGAAGGATGCACAATTGATCTGATCCTTGTGCTGTGGAGGTCATAAGTATCTGCTTCTCAAATGACTTGAAAGGAAACGCTCTAAACACCTGGTGCTGGACCACTCGCCTCTAGCCCCCCCTCCATCCAGAGAAAGAACTTCGATAGTTACTTCTTTAACTTAGCTCAGGATGAGCGACGATCATGCGGATTGCATGAGACTTCAAACTGTCGCGGTGCGTACCCCACCCCACCTGTCAGCATTCGTTTATCCGTTTGAATTCAGTATGTAGAAGGTAGTCTACATTCGGCTTCTTATACTACTGTCCTTCAAAACTGAATGTCCGGGACAGTCGCAATCAAGGCAACTTTGGTAAGGAGGAACAATACATAGTAGTACTACCAGTATGGAATCATAACCAAAAAATTTCTCAGCTTTTCAACTTCTGCATCATTTTCGACTCGGAGGTCAGTGTGTTTCCATCATGGTCATGCAAACTAACATAATGCCAGGTTTGCTGGACATGGGGGAGAGAGCGGGGGATCATGAGGATAACTTTAGTTATATCTCGCTATGCGCCGTTCGTAAGCTTTACTGTAGCCGTATATTGTGAGTCATCGCGACAGTGTGTCTACTCTCGCTCTTCACAGATAAGTCCCTCGGACAGATGCCGTCAGTCAACTCGAGGAGGAATTGTAAGCTTCTTGTGACAGAGTTGAAGGATAATCCGTGACCATATTTCAGCCAAATATGTTCTTCGCTATATATGCCAGTTGCGTAGTATACAACAACCTCTCTTTAACCGCTGAATGCTGAATGTTTTTTGTTAGGCATACACATCTTGGCTGCTGCTGCTGCTCAGAGTCAGTATCAACTCCAATTCAAGTTGCTCTCTTCCCCTTGACCTCTTTTTAAGTACTGCTCGTGGCAAGGACGCACGTTTTCTGGGGATGTGAAAAAAAACGTTCTTGATCGCGATATCAGTTTTCAGCACGGTGACCTTCGTCCATCCTCTCGGCCATTTCCTTGTCGCTCAACTTCTTAGGCCATGATGGCAGCCATGCTGACAATTGTAAATGTCGATGCGCGTAAATCCGGATGTTTGTATCTCCCCCTCTAAATTTCTTCTGCTCATCTCATATTCCAGATTCTACGCTTGGTGTATTTGAGGGAGTACGAAACGTAGGCACCACTTTTGGTTTGCATGTGATGGTACGTAGCATTTCGATGATTTTGCTCCGTGGCCTCGATCCTCCGCCAGTGTTAATGTTCCTGACCGTATACAAACACTTCAAACATTATCGACTGGAAAATAGTCCATTGATTGCTACTGTGTATCGGGATGGCGTGAGTTACATGCTGTGCATTACTCGTGAGTCTTAATCTTATAGAGGAACGCGGCCTTAGTTTTTGCAGTGATCTCGTTGGTGAATTGTGTGGGCATTTTTTCGCTTCCTGTGGGGTAACTTTCGTCGGGTCGTAAGATAAAGGCTTCGGATCAGGTTGCCCAGTCATCATATTCCGCACTTCTTGTTGGGTAAGCCCTATCATGATTGACTCCATCAATAAAGCTGAGTCAAAGAAGCCCGCAGGCACTCGTGTGCAGTGTTCTTGCCTCGTGCACCCTGTTCAATCGGGTCGGTTACCTTGAGGGCGGTTTTTGCTCAACCGATCCAAACTCCATCCCGTGTGGATCATCTATAGTTATGGAATATTAGACTTGTGACTGACTTTTAACTATAGTTGTAGCTCTCCACCTGCACGCACACATATAAGTATGTATATACGAAGGCATGACGCGCTAATTGAAGGAGTTTAGCGATGCTGGAGCGCGTTCAGCGTGCAAAGCGACGAATCTAAGGAATACCTAAGTTAAGTTAAGTAGAAAATACTCTATCAAAAGAATTCGTGACTAGTTCTACGGTGGCTGAACAAAAGATCTTTCTATGGCCCATTCTGTAAGGGCCCCATTTGCAGCCGGTCATAGTGAGCCTTGACTTGCATCCATCTATCCCTCAGTTCTGGATGGGCTTCAACATACAAAGCCTTCATATTCGGTATGATTGCCCGCAAGAATTGTGCAACAGGTTCAGTGTGCTCAATAACCGAATCCCGGACGTTGAGCACCTCCAGGAACTGTGCACCAGTCACGCCAAGACTGCCGGTCGGTAGTTCAGGGATGTCCCTCGCATCCAATGCCAAGTGTACGTGGGTGAGCTTCGGGCAGTCTTGGGTCAACGCTGTCAAGCTGTTTAAACTGATGCTGGGAGTTATGGAGGACCAAGGTAAGCTGCAGAGTCGAAGTTCCTCCAGCTCGCTCCAGGCTTTAGCCGCTGCGGTGATGAATTCATCATCTAAATTGAGCGTACCAAGATGGGAGAATTTGATGATGCGGAGATTGCGGGAAGCGAGTAGCGGTGTAAATGTGGATGAATAGAAGATAAAAGGAGTGCCGGCAATTGTATTGGTTTGTATGTTGTGCCGGAGAGAGATTGATCGAAGAGACGTGCCAATGGCACTCAAGAATGAATTAACGATGGAAGATGGTGCTTGGGCGTCGTAGGAAACGGCAAGCTCTTCTAGTCGTGGTGTGGATATAAGGGACACAAGAGATGTACACTGAGGAAGGTCGTATGCCGCGAGGCTGAGATGCCGGAGAGCGGGGAAGGTGTGATATGTCCTACCTCGTAGCATGTCGGTATCGAAGTCAGGCTGAAGATTCAAGGCAAGCTCTTGGACATAACGAAGTGATGCAATATTCAGCATGCTCTCCGCAGATATACGAATAGAGTTGGAGACGACCAACCGACGTAAGTATGGCAGTTCGTGGGTCGAAACATTCAATTTAAATGACGTCACTGGAAAGAATGATGAAATTGCGACGTTTTCGAGGTGGGTAGCCTTCCGAGGAAGGTCTTCTAGCACTACGCAAACGTCCCGAGGACACATCTTTCGAGGGAGAGTGAAGGTGAGGTTTGTCAGTTTTGGGGAGAGAAAGCCTCTGATCAAGGGAAAGTTGGAGGAGTTGCACGACAAGATAGAAAAGTCGAGCGAGGAAAGTGACGGGAACAGAGACTGCGGATGGCGTTCAACAAAAAGGAGTGGAAGTGCGTCCTCGTGTAATCTGATTACGTTCGTTTGCTTTGGGTATGAAAAACTCTTCACACGGTGTGAATACACGTCAAATCGTGTCCATTCAGATCCAGTAGGCGATCTGGTGAGATACTATGGGGACAACAGTTGTAAAATTGCATGCCCACAGCGACATGAGACTCACGAGTATATTGCTTGAGTGAATCTCCCAGATGCCTCTTGGCAAACACATGATGAGAGGACTTAGCGAATGCTGAGTTCGCCAGAGGATGTCAAGAGCGCATTCCATAAAGCTGCGGCATGTCCGAGCTAGCCTAGCAAGGTCGCTAGTATTTTCCAAGCGCTTTGGGTCCCGCTGACCGTCGACAGCGATGAGCTGAATAATGTGAGAAAGGATCTCATCAATGAGCAGAGATTGATGCATGGTAGATTGCGGAGGAAAGTTCTGCAGAAGTGGATCAGCCAAGGTAACCAGCCCGAGTGTGAATAGGCTCACCGACAACGACGTACCAAAGGTGGGTCACGTTAAAATAGAGAACGCGGGTTAAACGGAATGTAAATTTTCTCAAGCTCGGTTGCCAGGCGATAAGAGAATCCATTCTTTACGCGATCCGCGGGCAGAGCGTGCTGGAACGTGAGCACGTATCCAGGAGCTTCTCGGAGGCTAAGCTTCATCTGGTGCTACACTGCTATTGCATATTATTGCAGGCGTTCTAGTTAATAATGACTGAATCATGGGCTGTCCGTCGAAGTCGAGTAGATAGGTTGGCACGTAAGTGAAGGGGAGGAGTTGTCCTGGACCTCACTGTCGCCGCTGTAATAGTCACGACAGAGAACGACTTTATTACCTAACTGAAGGTCCGCAAGAGCCTCGTCAACTAAGATAGACCTCGTTCATACACCGGTTCATCACATGATCTAGCGTGACATTTTGATGAATTTACACCTAACTCCATGTGTATGAACTCTGAGAAAATTTCATTCTATGATTATGTGCGGAGAGTCTGTAGCAAGACATGCATGTAATTTTTATAATCTAACTTGGTGAACTGAGAGACGAGTAGTGTTTGTGAGTTCAAATGTCTCAAGTGAGGTGACTGGGGTCACATATCAGGTCACGATGGTAAATTTGCCACGAAAATGCCTACTCCTCCCTCAAGTTGCTGAAAATAAACATTCTGAGGAGACAGCATCAATACTATAGTTCATCCTCGCAGGATCATAAAATAGATTTCGCTAATTCTCATCCGAAGCAGAGTTACAAGCCAAAGAATGCGTTCATGGCCCTGGGCCTAGGCCTAGGCCTCGACCTCGAAAATATAAGTGTGGCCAGTCAAGCTGGCCCAAGGTTGACTTCGACTAAGTTTGTAGAATGCATTACCGTGATGATAATTCATTTATCTTCTCCAGTAAGACATTTTTCCCTTTCGTCTCGCTCTTTTTCATTCTCTCGACAATGTCTTCACCAAACCAACCCTTGACGGTCCGCTTTTCCTCTGTGCTTCCCTCTTCCTTTATCCGCTGCAAAAATTCTGCAACAACAAAGGCACCCTCTCCCTCAGCCATGCTTAATGTCACATCCTTACCAACAATGGACATGAATGCAGAAGCGAATGCTGATGGAGAGAACGACGGTGAGCGAATGACGGATTTGCTAGAATGCGAGAAATGTCCGCCCTGGAAAAGGGATTTATACATTCGTGACGTGTGTGGGAGATCAATTGGATGAAGCTTTGAGGTATCTTCCGATGGATATATGGAAGCTAATGGTTGAAGGAGTGATTGTATAGCCGAAGACTTGTCTATGAAGCAGTGTTAGTGAAATAAAGGGACATTGAGTGAAATCACCAACCGCCGTCAGCGTAAAGCATAATCTCCAATACTACCAAACTTCCACCGGTATCACGCGCGGCTTCCGCGCCATTATCCTCGACGAACTTGAGCAATCCCTCACTTGCTGCAGCTCGTATTTCACCCTCGCGAACATCCGCACTTTTCTTGCTGGTTTTGCTCCGTACAGAGTCTGTCTCAGAAATTATCGCTATTTGGGCAGGCGTGAAATGTCGTCGTGATCGAGGAACAAGCAAGTAGAAAAGAGCACGTCGACCTTGTGGGGTGTTGATGAGCGTAGGGGCGTGAGTGGTGATGTCCGAGACAAGGGATTTGGCTGTCAGCTTTGTATCGCTATAGAAAGATGTCAGGATTGGACGTTTAGCCAACAAACAAAAAAACAGACTCGATAACGTCTAAGGCAGTGAAGAGGACGAGTTGGGCCTCATCATCGGTGCACATACGCTCAACGTGAGGTTTGATGATTTTGATGATTTGTTTCCGATCCTTTTATATCGCAAAATTAATATTTGCCATAGGAGTCAGCATACGAGTGTACCTTAGCCGTCCCATAAACAATGAACTCTCTCACTGCCCTGCTGCCGTCCTTGGTATGAACCATCTCGGCAAGGACATCCTGACAACTGCAGATACTGTATTAGTGGATAATACTTCGGTGATAAGCTTGTATTCACCTTTCGAATATCTCTTTGCGAAGTTTTTCTCGTTCTGATTCATCCTCCGTGTTGTTGACGGCAGACAAGTATTCCCAAAGCGCCCTATGAACGATTGCATGGGTTATGGCGCCCTTATCAGAATTGTTAAAACTGTTGATAGCGTCATCGATTAGAGGACTACATGATGTCCGACGTCAGATGCTCACATTGTGGTCAGATTCTCTTTCAGTGCTGCCATTACACGTTTTCTTCGTTCGCCCTCGAGACCTTCAAGGACCCCATGAAAGCCTTTTTTGGCGTTCGCCTTCTCAGGTTCGGAACCTTGTGTTTGGGAGAACAACGCGACTTCCTTGCCGTAGAAGTCGCGAAGAAGAATTGAACGCTCATATGCATTCGCATAAAGCTCGAATGAATCAGCAAGAACGGCAGATGCCTCCCGGTGTAACAGTAGACGGAGTACGTGGGATTGGAATTCGAGCAAGATGGATGCACGATGTGCTGGACAGAGTTTAATCAGCTTGGTCACTAAGAACTGTCGCCATCGTCAAAGGATGTATTAAGGTATAACAATAAATCGGACGAACCTTCGAGTATTTGCTTTGAGCCAATGCCTTGTAATGACCTTTAAGCTCCATCGCAACCTGGTCCCTCTCCTTTTGCCCACCATATTTCACGACAGTCTGGATAATTCTGCTTGCGTCATGCTTTAGGACGATATCCTTGACCTTTCCTTGGATAACCCTCATCAAGTCCTTCACATGCTTCAGTCGCTCCGCAGAGGGTATGCTTTTTTGCCGAGCTAATGACCAGATACGCTTTGCATCCGCTAGTAACTGGGAGTGTGGTTTAGCTGCTCGACGCTGTTCCTGTAGTACACGTTGAACTTTATGCGATTCTCTCGCAGCTACTCAGAACGTCGTGAATCTTGTGCATCTGGTCCTTTAATGGTCGACATACCATTGGGGTCTTTGCTGGATGCATCATCTACAATCATCTCATCTGCGACAATCTCCTGGTCATCAGCTTCTTCGTCATCAAAGTCTCCCTCGTCCTCATCTTCATCATGCTCAGACAACCCACTTGCTGGTATCGGCTGTGTGACAGGTCTACTCCGCTTCTGAACTTTTTCCTCCGCAAACTTCGTCAAGGGAGGATTTTCTGAGTGCTGTTTCTTGGATTTTGAGCCACCCTGCGAGACCGCTGGTCTTTTCTTTGATGTGCTTTGCAAGCCTGGCATTGGAAAGGAAGGGAGTGACTAGTGAGCACTACGACTCTTCGAAAGTTTTTGGCCAGACTCCAATTGATCTCGTCCACGTGACTATATATACTTATGGCGCGTAAATTGATTTACGCGCGTCCAAGCGGCACCCTAGAGCACCATCAAGTTGCCTTCAACTGAACTCCTGATGGGCCGATTTTTTATTGCTGGCATGTGAGACTCTACGTGGCTTGTGAGTGCGCCCACAAACAGAACTTCATAGCATTAATAGCTGGTTATCAGCATTTCTTACTTGGACTCCTACGAGAGCCCACGAGTGACGAGACTCATGAGAAGATTGAAGGTTGCAACGCAGCAAAAGCAGACCTTCATTAGAAGGAACAACTGTTTAAGTCTTCCTTCTTCTATAGATCTGGCTAGGGGAGACTAGAAGATCGTCGCAACAAAGACACGTTCTCGCGGCTGTACTGGATTCTGGATTTGAGGAGTCACTGATTCTGATCTGGTTCTTGTAAGTTGTCAGAACTCGTTATAATTCTTACAGTCTACTCCGGCAATCTACTAACGTGCACTTAATATCGCCCCTTGTCCTTCGTCTCACTTCGCACTGGAATTGATAGATTCACCTTTATCGTGGCGGTATGATAACACGTCCTACTTGATATTATCGTTGCTGATTACTACTTGGCAAGTTGGTATATGCAGACTGTCGCTGAGCCACTACATAAAACCCGCACAAAAATCAGTTGGGATCAGGTGTTGAAAAACGCTTCGTCTACTTGTGTATCAGGGACCAAGCTTGCGCCATCTTCTATTTGATCAACGCACTGGGGGAAAAAGATATTTGACCGGTGGGGACCTTAAATTCTATCCAAATCATCACCGCATATTGACCGCATCTGATAGTATGATGCGAATCCATATATCCTCATGTCATTTTCACCGCGCTTACTCTGAGCCTAGCGTACTTGGTGTTTTGATTTCTTTGCCCAGGTGTCACCTCGCGGTCAAGCTTTCGTGTTTAATACGGTCACACTCAAGGAATGCGGTCGCGCATTAGGGTCTTTGACGAATCCAGGCTGAGATTCAGAATTCTGGAATTCCAGTGGCTGTGCTGAAACCACGGTCCACCTGACTCTTGTATCCAGGCAAGCGAGTCGAAGGTACGTAGCTATGACTGATCCTACCAGGTCTTGTAGACAGCCACCATGGCCAAGGAGTACTATAGTTGCTATTGTGTGACTCACAATGCCAGGAAAAGCCGACTACACGTCCGTCGTGGGGATCGAACCTCAGGGCCCTAGAACAATTGACATATTTAATTGTGAGCCACAACTTCACTGCATTCTGTCGAATTTGGGAGCAGTAGTGGATCGTTTCTCTGATATGGCAATGAGATAGCCACATCATTGTCTTCCACCACATCAGCCTGAGTTGCGTATATAAGCAACTGAAGAGTCTCGTCAACATCCTTACCTTTACTCGGACTCGAAGCCCTGCCTCCATAACTTCAAAGTTCCCCTCTCATTTTGATTTTTCTGGCCCAACTCAAATATGAGCACAAGCGTGGATCTCCGCAGTATCATGGAGATGGACCAACCCAGGCAATTGCGCGATGTGAATTTTGAGGAGTGGGACGATGGTCATATTGCATGTCAAGCATACCAACCGACCGAAGTTGATCAGCCATGGCCATATAGGTTTCAGGTGGCGTTGTTTTCTAACTCGTCTCATTCGGGTTTTTTTACTGATATGACTATGTACCAGCATGGCGACTCTGTTTGGGTCCACTCCACAGACTTTCACTGGTGTCTGGGGACGGTTTCTGGTCGGCCCAAGGTTGGCCGCACGAGAGAGGTGAATATTTTTGTACAATTTCCGGACTGTCCTGCTGACTTTCGCGGGTCTTGTAACTGGCAGTGTGGTGACGGTACTTTTTTAGCGTGTCATTTACGATGGAAAATTTCGTATATGGGTATCGCCTCTCGAGGGCGAGTTGAAGCCTGATACTCCGCATATAAGGAAATTGGTGGACAAAGCCTATTAAGGTCCTACTGAATGGCTCAGCGATCTATGTCTTGTATGATAACCGGCACTGCATTGTACATGACTATTCCTACCATCCACTCCTGAACACTATAGTATCTTATTGTTTCGCATTTGTTCTCAGCTCTGTACTCCATTCAGTGGTTGTCTCCTGGAATCCTATACCATGTAGATAGTTGTGTATAGTAATTTCAAAACCAGGCATGTGGCGCTCCATTTCTAAAAGTGCGTGGTGTGGCTCGTGTCGTCAACACCTTAATCCACGACTTTGACGGACGACCACAACGGAGACGTACCTGATGAACAGCGTCATCGAAAGGGTAAGTTCTCTGTGGGCCCACTGGGATCCAATGAGTTCATTGGGATGGCAACAGTAATGTTGAATTTGTCGTAAATTAGGCAATCATTGCAATACAGGTTGAATGCAGGAAGGTCCCCGGTAAGATACGCGTGAGGCGGGAGTTGATTCCTCCTTAGTATTCACGTTAGTCATTGTTATGACTGAGCGATGGTATGCATGGGAGTGCGCGTCAACTGAGCCAGGACATATCCCCTTGCAGCCGGTAGTGGAAAACTTGCATTCCTCTCCAAGGTCCTGCAATTAATCTAATCCAGGGTGTCCCTATGCCATCACCGTTCTCAGTGCTCACCATCCGACCGCGCGTGCATAGTGGCAACAGGTATACCTGGAGCGGCCTTGTTCCCATAGCGCATCATTGTCACCGTGAACTCGACGAGCAGCCTGAGGGCATCTTATCGTATGGAACACGAAAGACCCAGAGTATACTATCCTCGAAGATGATACAATTGACGATGTAACAACCACCAACAAAACGCTAAACCCGCACACTCTCAGTATCTTAGACTGAGACGAATAGGCTTGCCGATTACCCCTGCAATGCGCCGTGATGTTCCCAGCAATGATTGCTGCTAGCAACGATCCTCCGCAATGACCATCTGGAATTCATTGGGCATTTTACATCTGTCATTCGCTTCTCCAGCCTGCTCGGTGCCATCACGCCTCGTTTGATGGCAGACGATGAGTTGCAGATTTTCCAGTTGTTAATCGATGGTAAAGGCAGCTACGCCCCTTGGGTGACAAAGTAGGCTCAATGGGTCAAGGCAACTACTGGGGCTCTGGATGCAATTGCTCTAGCTCACCGTGAGATGGCAAACTTGTCAGACGTCCTCTCTGTACGTGTTCGTTTATTGTAGACGGATCTATCACCTAGAACTAAATGTCATCTCGACCCTTGTCATGAATGCATGGACAGTGACACGGCAGTCATATGCGAACCTCAAATCCACGAGGATTGCGTGAAATGTCCGAGAGTAGTACATACAGCTACATGTAGAGTGGTATGATCTTTTCAACAATTTCCCGATCCCAATTTGCAGAAACGTCTTCTAATCATAGAATACAAGAGCTCTCAACTCAATCGACTCCCGAAGCGGTGTTCCCGCCGGAGTGTTCGGGTCCTCGAACCCAGTGTGAGGGGTAAGTCTGGCGACACTGCCGTCTTGCACTGAGTCAAAGCTGAGACACTTAGTACGATGAAAAGCGCCGTCAAGCTAATTCACTAACCATTTGATAAGAACAAACTCTTCAGGGACCATTGCTGTCATGTATTTCCACTGGTGGTTTGGGTTGTACTTGATCCCAAACGTCTCACCCTCGCGATCAGGGTATATGAGAGCGACAGGCAGCAAGTCATTCTTGACATCGACACTCCGGAAATCGCATAGTGCAAGCGGCCAGTCTACAGCTGCATGCGATATGGGACGCCAAAGGTTGATGATTTGGAAGCGTTTGCGAAGGAGGGAAGGAGCTTCTGTTGCTGGGAGATGCCTGTGAACGCGAGCAATGGAGGAGTCCGTCGTTTGGTCTACATGGACTACGGCCACAGGTTGACGCTTCTGTGGACCATCATCTGCCTCGCCTGGGCGACGGCGACGAATAGCTGCGAGATCAATTAGGCATCAAGGAATCGTTTCAAATAGGTGATCGACGTACTATGATCGAACATGACAACCTTACTTGCTCCCGTAACTCTCTTGATGAGGTCGATGCTCTCAGGATAGTATTCGCGCTCAATCTCGCTATCATTCAAGAAGCTGGTGTGCTTCGCCGCCTCCCGCCCATACTGAAATCCGGCATTGTCAAGCGTGTAAAGTCCCTCCTTTCCGCGCACGTCCTCAATCTGCATGACATGCTGGTCCTCGACCCAGTTGCGGATCAGTTTCCCCGTGACACTATCTGCGTTGATGTTATGGTAAATGCGAGAGCCGTCAGATGGAGGGAGGTAGTAGTTGAAGGTGCTGGTGGTGTCAGAAGTCATGGCTAGTTCGTTGGCACTGGAATGTGTATAGTGGAATGGGAGGGCCGTTCAAGGAGTCACGAGTTATATAGGTTTCCAAGGGCCGAGGAAGCCGCTTGGCTTACATACCAGTTCTCCTGACTAACTATGCAGCACCTGAGTTACATTTGTAAGGTAGTCAGCCAATTAGAAATCGCTCTTGGTGGGGATGAAAATATCTCATGCTTATGCATGCACATTGCGCCACTGAACAAGTGATAATCGATAATCAATGTAGAACATGAGCTTACCTATAGCACGGCATCTAAAAAGCCGACTTGGTCGAAGTTCCTCTTAAAGTGCTTTTGAGCAGTTCGCTTTTGGTTTAGTTCAGATTTGCTTTCGTAAGCACACATTTTTGGTTGTGTTCAGCATCTCCACCGATCCCATGAGTGCGCTACTGAAGTCGTAAGCGTTCATTTCAGTGGTTTTGCATGATATGGCTTGGACCCCGCTCAAACGACTATCACCCTTCTTTTTAACGGTGATTGACAATTTCCTAGCTTCAAACGAGGTGGGAGGGCCGGATGCTATAAATGGAGCTGTCATACCGTGTTTAGCGAAGAGAGCCCAAAAGAAAGTGGGAGCTATTGCTTTAGAACACCCTAGAATTCGCACTCCAAGGCTATCACCGGTTTGCGATTCATAAATAGTATGATGCATGTCCGCAATACCATCGCCCCATTCTGTTTGACTCTTCCTTGCAGCCTCCATCAGTCGTCCTGCAACATCAGAACCGTCAACCTCGCTTCCCGGAAGCGGCGTATACTATCAAGTTTTTGTTCCTAAAGGCTACTATGTTGCATGTTGCAGGTGGTGTATTTTCAATTTTAGTGAGGGTGCTAGTAAGCGGAGGCGTTACTGGTCTTGATGGCTGTTTTCCTTCCATTGGTTTAACTGCTGGAGACTACGAAGAACCCGACAAATGAAGGGTTTCAGCTAGGGTCATTGGTCGTCTGCACGAAGCAGGGAGCAGACGAGGTGAGCGACCTCATCCGAGTCGGTGAGGATTAAGCACACTCAACCGGAGTGAAATGGCTTGTGGTCAAGCCCAAATCGGACAGCAGGCAACGCAGAGTATCGCTCTGGGCGAGCTGCGAAAACGGCCAAGAGCACCCACCTTGGCCATGCGGAGTCGGATATGCGGCGGCGCGAAAGCCATGAGTGCGGGCACGTATACCAATGTCTGCCATCCGACAGCCTCCGAAGATACTCCAGCGTAGTAGTAACCTTCTCATTTCAGTCCAACAAATGCCACGTCTCTCAATTCGTTTTTGTGAGCAGAATTGGCTGACCGGAATGGTGTAGAGTTCTTTTGTCGAGTTCTAATGTGTTTGAACAAGTTGAATCAACCGCAATGCCTGGACGAGCCCATGTCGGACGTGTACTTGCACGAAGCCGCTGGCCACAAGGATGCTTCCAGTCATAGGGGGACCCTTTGTCAGCAACCTGGCACGTCATTGTGGATACTGCAGGAACGCATAAGAGGGCTACATATTGGCGATTTACTACCACAGAGGACTATCCCCCACTTTCTTGTCGACCAATGTCTACAGTCTCTGCAGAACTTGTATACTTTTCTCCGCCCCCTGACGGGTCCCGCCCATTCACCAGCATCAATGCTGATTCCAAGACAGGCCAGCGCGCACGTAATTGGGAACAAGAAGTGCATACCGTTGAGATTGAGAACGTTAGGGGCAAAGAAAGTGACTACACCTTGGACACTGCGGGCTTTCAATATCACACGAAAGCATCCAAACACACTGCTTTTATCAACGACGAGGCGATCAGGGGGGAATACTATCCGGAGAGCATCGAATTCCTCAAGGAAGTCACGGGTGCGAGCAAAGTTGTTCTCTTTGACCATAGTACGTGTAAAACTTGCACGCAGTGTATTCTAGCACTGATCTCTGTTAAACCTCAGCGGTCAGACGCCACCGCCCCGGAGACGCGGAAACGGACGAAACTAAGCGCCAGCCTGTCCATCAGGTGCATGTAGACCAAACTCCTGAGTCGGCTACTGCTCGTGTACATCGCCATCTACCTGCTGCCGAAGCAGAGAAGCTTGTGGAAAAGCGTTTCCAAATTATCAACCTTTGGCGGCCCATCTCTCACCCCGCAATTGAGCATCCCTTAGCGCTGTGTGATTACAGGACTGTCGATGTAAAGAAAGACCTCGTTCCTGTCACATTGGTCTATCCGGATCGTGAGGGCGAGACTTTCGGGGTGAAGTTCAACCCGGCGCACAGGTGGAAGTATGACAAAGATATGAAACAGGACGAGGTAGTCTTGATTAAATGGTTCGCGCATTATTTTTTTGTCCTGTAATAATGCGCTCACCTTGGCCGCAGTTACGATTCAGCTAAGGACGACAACATTGCTAAATTCACCCCACATACGGGGTTCAAGGATCCCTCTACACCACAGGGAGCGCCGCTCAGAGAGTCTATCGAGCTCAGGGCGCTAGTTTTCTATGAGTAGAGGTGCTACGTAGCCTGTAAGTTGCTTGCACTTATCTTTCTTCATTTCCCATTTCGACCGTCAAGTGTGTATCAACAATTAATTGTTAAACGATGGAGTGGGGCTTGCCCACGGAGTGTCCAGGGTCCCAGCGGTGTTCCAAGGTCGTAGCCATCGTATACAGCACCATCGCATCCCCATTGTGCGAGGCTTGAGGTCATTCCTCTCGAGTGGGCCCCCTGGCCCACTCCAACGATCATGATTCGTGAGCGAGATCAGCAGCTAATACCAATTCTCCCTGACTTCCGAAAGACCCGCAGCTGAAGAGAATGTAACCTCTTATTCCTCGAGTCACAGGTTATTGTTTTCAACAGAAAGACAGAAAGACTTCAAATCTTGTGTGACAACGGTCGGAGCTTGGTCGCCCCAAAGTTATTTTATAAATTGCTGCTCTCGACCAGTACCAGACTTGAAGTATGATTCCAGTAGTGTATCTGAATCACCTTCAACTAACCGTCATGCATCCTGTGCGGCAATTACTCGGTGCAACGATCATGATCCATGCATCATGATTAGATCATTATGAACAAGGCGCCCTACTAACGAATTCTGCTATAGGTCAGCACTCACAGTCCTTGCTACTTGGCGCTGACGATCACAACCGTGGAAATCTTGTTGCTGTACACACTCTAGTACTTATTTCAAAATGCTTGCTGCAGACCGCCATTCACCTGCCGGTTGGGCCACTCGAAAATGTCAGTCCCAGACACCTTTGGATTGCAGTTAGCCAAGGTACTCAATCCAATTGTGCCATGTCCAGCCCTTCTCTAACATCTCTAATAGTATACTAACGGTGAGGTTGGCTTGATGGCAATGCTTATCGTTATTCACGAGTTTGCTTTACTCCGAAGTCGCTGCATCAGCAATTTTAGTAAGTTGTGCGGTTCTAGTCCCATCATAGTCCTGATGTTATCACCAGATTTATGACTACTTCATCACGTTACACTCCGAAGTCAGAAAAATTGGCCTCCCATACCTCAGCGCTAATCCCTTCTTGTAGGTCCGATGGACCTGGGGACGGAAGTGGGGGATCATCCGCACGGCCTTCACGATTTCAAGATATGTACCTTTTGCTGGTGCACTTATGACCTCATATTGTGAGACACGCCAGTATGCACTATCACACAAAAGCTGATTCCTGACCAGCCGCTGTGAAGACATGGGGCACGCAAAATGTGAGTATACCTTCAATCTGTGCAGTGACACTCGCCTCCCCTACAACTCACATACATTTAGTGTGCGCCTTTCAACGATGCTGTCGATGGTTGGTCTAGATGGTTTTCATGACATGGATTCGCAATGACATTTCTCAGGCATACATTTTTTAGGCATCTTTGCCTCGGAAGGTTGACTTTTGCATACCACGTTACAGCGTGCATTTACATTCAAATGAAAGGATTATTGATTGCCAGGGTCTACGCCTTCTCTGGCAACAAAAAGGCTTACCTTATTGTTCTTCTCTCCTTTGGTTTGGTACAATGATATCTCTATTCCCCTGTGCACCACTAACCTGAGTGGCACAGGCCATCCTGGTGACGGCTGTGATTCTAAGTGCTGCCCCTATCAATTTGAATATCCCAGGAGGTGAGGTCTCAAGGTTCACTTCGTAGTCTTGGGATTCATTCTTTTTCAGTCGCCCCGCCTTGTGTATTGGAGAGGGCTCGTAGTAAAGCCCTCGCATATGGACTCTTGATGTTCTTCGAGATTGGTGAGGCAACAATGAATTCAAAGTTTTATAATTGAAACTCCTTACTTGATCCACTCCCAGTTCTCATGTCCACTACTGCATTCTTGAGATATCGACACTATCTTGGTTCTGGTAGCAAGCTAATGAGGGCTGTCTATCGGGATGGACTGCTCTACATGTTCTGCATCATGAGTATGAAACCTTCGTGATTATTGATTTCGTGTTGAAATTTCTACAGTGATATCGACAGTCAATGTGATTGTTATTGCCGTGCTGCCTGTGAGTTCTTTCCTTTTTCTGTTGGCCTCAAGACCTGACTAAACCCCCTAGCTCTCGTACAGCGAGATGCTGAACACGTTAGTCTGGTCGATGATATATGTAGAGATGTATCATCAAAAACTCAGTATTCCTCATTTTTAGACCTCAGATCGTTGCGCACAGCGTTCTTGCTTCTCGAATACTTTTCAATCTTCAAGTGAACAATGAGCGGCACGTCTTCCCTTACCTACCAATCGACGTCTTCGATGGAAATGCTATCGCATCCACAAGAATTTCAAGCGCGGTCTGGAGAGGATGAGACAGTTGTTGGTGCTGTCCACTCAGATCAAGTTTAGACCTGCTAGTTCTGTGGGTAATATAAATAGCACTTATCATTCGGGTTTGTTGACTATGGATTTCTCACCCTCTCAATCGCTTTCGCATTCCATGCACCCCAGTGGTGAGCTACTCTACTAACCCTTTGCATGCGTTCGCAATGCTCTGAAGTAGCCTATCGTGTCAATATGGACGGTCAATTTATTAGGGCTCTTCAAGTATTACATGAGTGATACAATAAACTAATTTGGAGCGCGGATCCCAGGCTCCCCAATGACTCCTTCTTAAACCCGCGGTCCATCTGTTACAGCATTCACCATATCACAAGACCGTCAACTGATTCTGCAACCACCGGCAGCTGATATGATACCAGCTTCCCAGATTAATAACCGTCATGCCACTAGTACTAGTGAGGCCTTGAGGATGCACATTGCGATCATTCTTGTCGACTGACTGCCCACACTCGATGATCACGAGAAACAGGTCATAATGTTATCGCGTCAGTGTGTAACATGTGTAGTTGCTGAAGTTGTGTCTGTGCCCCGAGTGGCATCAAATGGGTCACGGCATGTCCTCGTGGGGTATTTTCAGGGTAGAACTTTAAAGTCCTTTCGTGGTGTATAAGAATTCCGTGTTCTATGCTAGTCATTCTTACTTCTCCTATACTGGGTACACGATGGTGTCCTCTCCTGAGTTCTCTCAACAGGATTTTGATTATATCGTCATTGGTATGTCAGACCTGTCAGGTTCGAGCTGTGTACGACTTGATGATATAATATTCTATAGGCGGCGGAACAACTGGCCTTGCTTTGGCTTCGATGTACATATTTATCATAGGATCCTTTTTCTTCTTTCCCTGCAGCGCTAATTCTGGGATGTTATAGCCTCTCCACTAATGCTAACGTTCGTGTGGGAGTTATTGAAGCAGGCCTGAGGAAGGACGACGAGATGATTCTTGTCCCCGGTAAGGGCTCCAATAGGTGACTGGTTGACCTTCTACTCATGAGTTGTTTGGTGAAGGCATGATCGGCAAGGCTGTTGGAAGTGAGTCTGGAGTTATGCTTTGAAGACAAGGCATCACGGTTCGAGTATAGACCCTGAATATGACTGGAATTTCGTCACGAAACCTCAACCACTTGCTCAGAATCGGGAGATCCCAATCAGTAGAGGCAAAGTTCTCGGTGGTACTTCAGCACTGAACTATATGGCTTTCTGTCGGTGAGTGCATACTATGTACTCGTATCCCATCAACCGATCGGCTGCAAACTTTCACCTTGATAGTGGTTCCGAGATTGAGCATAATGGTTAGTCCTAGGGGCTATGTGACTGAGTTGATGCCCTTTATACTCATGTGCCGAAAGACTGGGAGAAACTTGGCATTAAAGGTCAGTACCAGTTCACCACAGTCCAGTGTGGAACGGAACACATTACCGATTTTACTCGTCTAGGATGGAATTGGAATACTATCAGTCATGCAATCAAATCTTCCGAGGCTTGGAGCCCTCCTACTCATCACGCCAAGACGCACCACGCAGACAATGTTACGAATAATCATGGCAGGTGGGTCTAGCATTGCAGATACAAATATGCCATGACGCCCCATTCCCGAGCCAGGTACGGCTATGTCAAGACAAGTGCCTACAGCTACTATTATGATCTCGTTCTGCCATTCTTCGAGACCATGAATAATTTGGGCGTGGTCACGAACCAATCCGAAGTGAGTTTGATTTATTGACAGGCTAAGCATCACTGAAGCCACTATCAGGCCTCCGGAGACGTCATAGGTATTTGGACATACACGGCGTCAGTTGATCCTCAAACAAACACGCGCAGTTACAGTACAAATGTAAGGTGGCAGAAAACGATGAAATGTTTGACGCTGAATAATTCTTCCAGGCGTATTACGATCGGGTTTCTAGCCGACCCAACATCGTTGTACTTACTGGTGCACAAGCCTCTAAAGTGATATTCAGAGAGACTTCCAGTAGTGACCTACAAGCTATAACAGTTGAATATCATCATGGGGGGCGGACATACAAGGTCCCTGTGCGACGGGAAGTTATCATATCGACCGGTAAGTGTATAATTTGATAATTGAAAAGTCTAACCTACACGATGAGGTAAGGTGCTCTGCAAACGCCCCAACTTTTGGAACTTTCAGGTGCGGCACTCTGGCTACATCAGACGGTCTGTTTATTAATTTCTACATTACCAGGGATCGGAAATCCTGACCTCTTACGTCGACTGAACATCCCCGTGAAAATTGACTTACCTGGCGTTGGTGAAAACTTTCAGGTCGGTGTCACCTTCAGTAGAGAAACGAATCAAGTATGATTCTTTCCTTAGGATCATTTTGCGGTATCTATGGGCGCCGAGCTGAAAGGCTCGCACGAAACCGTGGATGACCTCAATTTAGAGACCTTTTCTCAAAAAAGACTAGAACAATATCGTCTTTCCAGAACTGGGATGCTCAGTAGCACACTGTCTACCCTCGTCTTCATTCCATCGACATCTTTCATCTCACCCGATAGAATGCAGAGTATGCTGTCAACTCTGGATGAGGCTCTGAAATTACCGCAAGTTCAAAACTCGCCCTGGAAAAAATGGTATGACGTCCAACGCGCCTGGCTGGTGAACGATGGTGTTGCTCAGTTAGAGATTATTCTCTTCCCTTGTGCGTCTTTTGTACACAACGTATGGATGTGGTATTGATCATCTACAGCTTACACTCATGCCGGATGTACGAACGAAAAAGCTAAGCATTACACGTTATCGGTCTTCCTACAGCATGCCTGGAGTCGAGGACATGTCTGTTTCGAATCTTTATTGAACTGCCGCTTGAACTCATGCTTCAACTTCAGGTGCATGCGACTTCCTCATCTGTGTTTGATTCACCAGAGATTGATCCGGCGACGCTCGATTCTTTGGGGAACATTGGTAAGCAAGTCATTATCTTCCGTAGACAGACCATTGAATCTCCTTCGAGATATGATGATGCTTTTGGAGGCTGTGAAATATGCTTTCAAGATCATGCAGACAGGGGCTCTGGGCGACTTGACTGCCGAAATCATCGAACCTCAACCTTCCTGGTCAGATGAACGACTGATGGATTATATCCGTTCCATGGTCAAGAGCGCATTCCATCCTATAGGTAGGTTATGTACCTTGTAATTTGTGAGCTTTTCTCATGCACGTTGCTCTTCGAAGGGACAGCCTCAATGCTCCCTCGATCGGCCAACGGCGTCGTTGACAACGAACTCAAGGTCAAACGTCAGGTTTAATTGCGTCTGTGAGACGTACTCACAAATTTTATACAGGTGTATGGGACAACCAACCTCAGAGTGGTATGTGTATCTTCTTGGAACAACTCAGATTCCTAAACATACACTTCACAGGCGGATGCAAGCATCTTCCCGATCGTAAGGCTGACAGTTTTTACCTCCGACATACTAATACTTACAGACGATCTTTAGCACTTGGGAACTCATCCCCAAGCCACGCTTTATGGGTAAGGGGTCATCGATAGTAATCATGCAACTTGCTCAAAGATCTTTCTAGGCTGGCTCACAAAGCTGCGGAAATCATCCAAGCTAACAACAACGCCAGCAAAAAGGCTAAGCTTTGATGTCGCTAGTAGAAAGCATGGTCTGTAGACGGCTATATACACAAGTATCATTGTACCAGTACCGAGCATTCCTCCACGGAGGCAACTCTATGCATGTCTCATGCACCGATAGTTCCTGTCCATGTCTCAATCAGGTCGATCACACAGTAACCCCTCACAGGCACGTATTGCTTCGTGATCATCTTGATCACCTCTTGAGCAACCATACCGCCAAGGAAAGCTGCAGTATTGGGTAGCTCGGAAAAAGGCGCTCGAGCACTATGGCAACGAAATGAGCCGTAATTAAACCAACGGACAGGGACACTACTCACATCTCACCAATGGCATCCTCAGCCTCGTTAGGAAGCTCAGTAGACTGTCCGACAATGGACTCCATCATCGCCCGAATGGATTCTGGTGATGGTGACACTGAGGTGTCACTCGCTTGAAGCAACGAAAGTGCAGAAAGCGCTAGATGTATGCATGTCTCCTTCGGCATGATTGATAATGATTCCACTAACCCAACAGACGAATGTCAGCGGTACAAGCCAATGCGATGTACCAAAGTATTACCTAAAGCGGCTTTGTCTTCATCGAACGTACCCCAAGGTTTGCCTCTGACAACAACCAGCGCATGCGCATTCTTGACGAACGAATCAACCATGTCATCATCGACCGGTACACGAAGATAGGTCTTGAAAGCTTGTTTTTCTTCTTCTGCCCTCGCCTTGTAAAGTCGCTGCAGATGTATGTAGTTATGGGTGTCAGACTTCATATCTGGCAGGGTTGATGTGAGAGGGAGCGTGTGTATGTCAGATTTCTCAGTATACTCCTTCAGGGCAGCAAGAAGATGGAAGAAGGGCGAATGGTTGTCGCTCAGGGATTCAGCGGATATCGCGGGATCACTAAAAAGGGCCGCGATTTCCGAAGGAACCTAAGGGAACAGTTGTGCTTTAGCTTGAGATTACAGATGGAACAATAGAAACCTTGGTTTCCGTCCAACATCTGTACGCCTGTGCTTCTGCTTCGTCAAAGTTTTCTTCGTCCCCTTTCACCTTCAGTGCAAGGACCCCTTTCTTGAATTGTTGTCGTTCCTCATATGATTTCGGTGGACTACCGCCATGCTGTATGATCTGGCATGAATTTGCCTTCCAACCGAACAAGGACAAACTTACGGATTTCTTCCAATCTTCGAGCGCACGAACTAAAATCACCACATAGGGTATGTGACCGTGCTCTGTCGGGTCCATTTTGTCAAACTCCAACGACAGGGCGTGATTTCTCAAAGCTGGGAATGGTTTGTCGATGCGAAGAGAAGGAGAAGTTTCCGAGTGACTTTCGATGACTTGAATACGTCATAAGCATATTCAAGGACATAGATCTGGACCTACTTGTGTGTTCATGGAATTGAATGTAGAAATCTGCGAGGAATCCAGCTGATCGGACGACCACAAGAGGCGGGTATTTTGCGTCTTTCCAAAGGAGTGCTGAGAGCTTTTGCAAGAGTGAATGGTCTAGGTTATGGGCAACGACGATAGTGAACGAAGTGATCCACTCAGGCTGCGACTCGAGGATGTCCTCGAGAGTTCTAGTATCTGCGCGACCTTCAACACCATCATTTAGCTCGTTTAAAAGCTTGACGCCCTCTTCTGCTCTAGATTTTCCAATACTATTGAATCCTTCTAAGAAGAAGTTGTTCCCGGCATCAGAGTGTGACACCTTTGCGTGATCAAGGACAGTGAAGTGTCCGATGCCAGGAAGAACAAGATTCTTCAAGATTGAAGTTGAAGTTGCAGATGCAGATATCACCAGTACTCGAGAAGATTCTAATGCACTCTGTCCAGTGGCTGCCCACAGACTTCTCGCAAATGTCAATTGGACCTCATTTGTATAGTTCTCCTGAAGTGATCTTACCGGAGTTGACGATCATATCTTCGAGTTTTGGCATCTGGCGCAGACCTGAGTCTGATCAGCCGACAAGTCTTAGTGTGCTAAAGAAATCATACTCTATCGCAGTGGTTGCAGTCCCGATATCCTGAGAGTCCTGAGACATGATGGTCGAATGTAAAGGCGAGTGGCTGAAAGTGGCAACTCATGATCGAGGTGACCAATAAACGCGTGCAGTCACACTTGTGTCACATTGTAACATCCGTGTCTCTTAATCTTCACCATGACGGACACGCGTCAGTTTGGTGATCTTGCCACTCAGCTCATCATGGAATCTCGTAGATCAACATTAACGGATACCCTTCTCAAATACAACGACAATCTTGTACGATCTATCATCCGGGAACAACGCGATCTCGAAAAAATGACCGAAACAGGTCAGAATGTCACTCCAGCGATGCTCATCTATCAAACAACCATCGTACGAAACAAAAGATGTCTCCTAGCTTATCACAAGCACCGTATGGATAGACTGCGCGATATGTACTGGACCGCTGGTGGCGCTTTACCGCACATCCTGAGCAACCAGGACATTCGCAGCAAGCTCTCTCCTCATGAAGTCGACTTCCTTCGCCAGTACAGCACTTCTGTGATGGACTATCGTGCTGGTTTTTCCAACGAGCTGGATATCACAGCCAGTATCACCCATCCCCCCAAAGACTTGCATGTGCTGGTTCACGTTATCAGGGATTGTGGGGTCATACAGACAGAGCTTGGGACTATCGATTTTCAGAAGGGGCAAAGATTCATGGTTAGGAGGGCTGATATTGAACACCTTATTATCCAAGGTTACCTTGAGGAGGTTTGATAGTGCGTTGCAGACTTTTCGTGAACAGACAGGTTTTGACCTTGAGATCAAAAAGGAAACACGTGGCGGTGTTTATTTCCGACCAAACAATCCAATACTTTGTTAAGTGTCTGTCTACGCGTTGCGTCAACTGTCCCGACCATGATGCGGCATGGTCTCCATAACCCGAGATTGTCATCGACTACATTGATCCCACGAAATAAATTTACTTTATCTCACAAACTCCTGTCTACACATTTACAACGGTCGTCAATCGCAGCTCCTAAGGCTTCTCCATCATTTACTGTCCGGCCAATGAAACAACGCCATGACCTCTTGTTTTCAGAGGGCCCTAGTCCTCCCATGTTTACGCCAAATAATGGGGGTTCCAGCGGTTCCGGAGATGTATCCGACCGTGAATGGCAGATCCGGACAGGTCAGTCTGGCGCGATATTACTTGGGAGACACACTGATGCTACCACCAGTTCTCTCTATAATCGTCATTCGTTTTGTTATTTTGTTACCATTCAGGCCGCGCCATCTATATCCTTCAGAAAACGCTTCCTGATTTCTTCGACGTTGGCCTTGTCTCGAACATAGACCCCACAAAGACACCGGCACTGATTGATTCCAGAGAATTGTCTTCGCCGGAGGTAGAAAACATTTACAGCCCAAAAGTGAGGTTGACGTACACACCTCCTGTTGCCCTTCCCTCGCCATTTCCAAGAACACTTGGCCTCGAAGGTTCGTGATGCGCCCATATTGCGTTCATGTCGTTGACGGGGACTTTCTCCCAGGTCTGCCGCTGTATTTGGCTTCGTCAGTCTTTATCCGGCACACAATGAGAACACTGTACTCAGACCTTCGTGTTGAGCTACGCAGGGTGATAGTGCAAGGATCGCCGTCCTCGCATTCAGAAAGCGCTGTAGCCGGAACCCACTTGAATCACCAGCGAGAAAAGAGTGTCTTCATTGGCCTTGATGTGCATGGCACGACGCGTGTCAGCGGTGGTGTTGGGAAATGGCAGATGTCAGGATCTCATACCGTCTGCACTGATTCTTGCTGACCATGGCCATGTAGAGACTCGACGTACAGCTTCTCGCCCCTATCTGGGTTGATACAGACGCATACTATTAACTCCATACATCCAGCGCCCCATCAGGCTGCATATGATGCATTACGAGCGTCGCTCAGCAGCGTGTTCGGCTTCGGCGGGCCAGGGCCAAGTGATATTCGACCAGGAGAGGTTCAAGCGGTTGATAGCGAAAAAGGGTGACCTAGGCTTGTTTTGCGTATTTTTGTCGTACTCTTTTTCACCTCTTGTAACTTATCGCCCAATTAATCAAGAGATGATCTTCATGGACCCGGCATCCTGTCATCGACAAGCGAATGCCAGCGGGTAACCTATCCACCTCCACCGCTTTCCTGTTGCTGTTTCCGTGTAATTACACTAACGTTAGTCGCCCTAGCCAAGCCTATAGAAGATGAAAGACGGTTCATACTTGCATGCACCAAGCAGAATTCAAGACGAACTACCACGCGGTCAGGTCAGCCCCACTGAGTAAATATTAATATCGATGAAGGTGGGATTCTGGTAGTAACGGGGCACAAAGTGGCAGAGCCTGAGACGCCGCTGATGGCAGTATTGTTCTTGTGAGAACAGATGTGTTTGGCGGTGTCTTCAAAAACGTCAAACGCTAGCTTTATAGGCATGAGACAGTACTTTATATCACGATTCTAAGTGGAATTTAGTCCATAGATGTCTTTGCTGAGCGCCTTCTAGCGCTCTTGGATCGCCTCAATTTAACCTCGATATTAATCCTTAGATCAATCTCGGACACGATCCGTTTGATATCGGGATCCGGGAAATGTATAGGGAACGGTTGTCATGTGGTGAGACAAGTATAGAAGGCAATAACTTCGGCTTGTCAAGTTGAAACTCATCTTGCTCCACCTCTTTCGTTCCTTCCACATCGCCGACCTCGTCTCTCTTTGATTGCACACTCTTTTTGTCATCGTTCACGCATTCTGTTCAACGCCATGTTCACCCAAACAATTGCTGCTATCCTTGCCTTGCCCTTCGTGGCCCAACGTTAGTATTTTGTTCTTCGTTGCACCTGTTCGGTTTGTTCACGCGTTTTTTTCTGTTTTGTTCGTGTAGTTGTTTCCGCAGACATGTCTTGCACTCGCACTTACACCGCTCAGGCTGGCGATATTTGTGACAGTATCTCGGCAGCTAACAGCGTTTCCACGTATGCCAACTCCCATTCCTTGTTGAAGTCCACTGACATTTTTCCGCCTGTAGCTACCAGCTTGCAGTCGTCAACACTGGAATCATCGATGAAGCTTGCGACAACCTCGTCGTTGGCCAGAGTTACTGCCTTGGCTGGCAGGGACAAGACTGCACGACCACCTACGTAGTCAAGGCAGGCGATGATTGCTACGGTATCTCCTATGCTGCAGGCACCAACACTACCATCCTGTATGCGAATAACCCACAGATCAACGAGGATTGCACCAATATATACGTGGGAGAGGTACCTCAATATTTCTCAGTTTCAACGCAGTTTCTAAAAGTCTCGTTTAGGTACTGTGCACATCGGACTACTGTCCAAGTCCCTGCTCCTCCTGCTAGCGGCACTACCCCCGCTACATCTATCCCTGCAACCGCTACTCCTGCCAACCCCGACGGTGACCTCCCTTGGTGTGACGAGTAGATTCTTTCAACTTGACCTCCATCGACCTGCTGCATCTGATTATATGTAGCACGGATCGTTAACGGCGATGGCAAGCCGGTCATGTCGTCGCTTTGGTCATCTTATTTCCTTCTTCATTTTGAACTCCACGTTGTTTATTTCTCACATCCAAAGCTGCCCTGGTATACCCAGCAATAGTAACTTCATTCTTTGACTTATTGTCTGTTTATTACCTTGAATCCGTTGCATGTAGGTAATTCTGGAAATTCCCCTTACATTCGAGGGAATAGATTGCGGTCTTATGGGCTTGCGTCCAGAGCTGCCCTGGTACTCAGCAATAGTAACTTCATCTTTCAACCTGTTGTTTGTTTATTACCTTGAATTTGTTGCATGTAGGTAATTCTGGAAATTCCCTGTACATTCGAGGGAACAAAACGCGGTCTTATGGAATTGCCCTTCAATTGCCCTTTGATGATCATTTACGCCGTTGCCTTTGAGGTGATGAGGATCACACTGCCCGAGATTCGCCCGCTTGTAGGTAAGTACTTGTGGGAGATTTTTCTCGCTCGGTAACAAGGAGCCCGACTCAGGCACAGGATCTTGCATATGGAACAAGTTAACAACTATTCAAGTGCCCGATAAATCCATCTACTTAATAATGTGCACTTGGAAAGAAGAAGGAACGCGAATGAACGAGGGCAACGTGGCTTCCGAAGCATTGAAAACTTGCCGGTCTCGGAGTGTGTCATGATACGGAAAACTCCCTGTCAACCAGTGCATCCGTTCTCGACAATCCAATAACGTTGCATCATTACCCAAGTTATAAGTATATGGCGGGTTATGCTTGTGGGTCGGATCCATATTTATTTTCGACAACCTTTACTTTTACGGTTCACAGCTCAGGCGGTTTTGTCAGGATGGCCTCTGGAAGGACCACTACAACTTCCTCAAAGAAAAGGGTTACAAGCCACGAATTTGCTACCGTCCGGATTGGTACCCTCTTGGGTCAACTCCAACAGAAATGAACATGAATTGCGAGGATGAATCGTGCCACCAGTAGGTGCTTCAATAATAGCAATATTGCTGATCAACTACCATCTGTCCTTCAGTACTATCTTCTGCTAGATGCATGGCGCACTCAGGACGAAGCGTATTATTTAAACGTTAGATGTATCGCGACACCTTTATGAGCTGGAGATCGGTCGCTATTTCTGTAGCTCATCTCTCAGCGAAGATCCAGCCATCCGTTGCTAATCATCGTACGATACGGGTCATGCCGTTACTTCGAAATGGTCTCATTTTTCATACTCTGATTTGGACAAACCAGCGCTACTCGAGCGTGGAAGAAGTTCCTGGGCGGTCTGGTATCAGACATGATACACTTCGATCCAACACAAGGTCCGAACATGGTCGATGTTTTTTCTCGATTCCCAATTCTACGTCCGGAGTCAGGGCCTCAGCGACTGGAAATTACGTTCCTGGGTGGCCCATGATGACGAGAGAACTCTTTTTGATTTCCTAGGCCACTGGGCCCATCGCATTCGGAACATGGTACGCAGGATTCCCCCAACGCATACCTCGCTGCCATAATGTACGAGTTTTCTGCCCTTAAGTACTCCCACATTATGGCGTGTAATGCGTGTTACGCTGACTTCACGCCGCACGCTCAACTGCACAGTGTCAGATGCAACCGACCATCTGTGCTGCTTTACAATGCACGAGTTTACTGCCCTGGAGTGCTGTCCGCATTATAGAGATTTTCTGCATACCAATACGCCGATCGAATCTTACATATGTTATAAGCTCAGCTTCGTTTCCTTGCATCAGGAACAATCACCATGGGCATTATGATTCGAGTACCGATAACATTTAAACACAAGACATCGGACTCCAGCCCACGCGCGCAATAACAGATGCGCACATTCCATTCCTAGTATGGGCAGAGGATGCTCTTTCGTTCGTCCATTTTGTTCCCACTTGCCTTTTTACCCTCCAACTGATACCCGATGAAAATGACCATGCTGCATCTTCCACGATTACATCAAAGCTTCCTTACAGACAAATTGGGGGACTCCACGAGGATTGACTCGAACTTGACCGCAGCCAAACGACCTGCTTTCCCAATTCAGTCCCCCTTACGATCCCGAGATCATTTCCATCCATCCTCAGTCGTTTTTCTCCCGTGACGTCCGAAATCACAGTCTACTTATCCACGAACCTTGTCCCTCCCCTTCCATCAACCAACTTACTCGTCCGATTTCCGACCTGGACGGCGTTCTTCCACTTACTCATAGACACGCCGCAAGTCGCATTTGGCCTATCTTACTTACCATATATACACATTCCCGCGTACTGCCGGGTGGTGAGCTCGGCTCAAGCCGGAGTCCCAGTCTGTGCTATTAAGCCGAAAATTGTTTTGATGGTCGCATAAGGGGAACTTCAAGGGTTGGTCTGCAGATTAGTACGGGACCGTAGATCGTTCTTGGAAAGAGCTGGGCAATTGAGATTGGCATCCCTTGCACTAGACACTTATCCGAGAATAGCAGACCACTGCCGCGAAACACTCCCGACTTTTCAGTGATGTACGCACTCTGACCTTTCCTTGACTCTCATCGTTTCTCATGGGCAGATAGGTCGAAACCCCCCCGCATGTCGGTACAAGAGACATCTCGGTCTTCTGGATTAGCCTTCGACTAGACCAAACACGTGGGTTTCCATACGTGTTTTCACGCAACTGAATGGGCCAACTAACATTGCCGCCCTTTCTCTCCGCCAAGAGCGCAATTGCAACTATTCAAATCCATGCATGACACAGGGTGTGAAAGCGCATTTTTGTTGTGCAACAGGGGGAACGTATAGATCAATAGTGCAAAAATGTCAAAGCCCAGGCGATTTCACCTTAGGTAGGCAAGAGAGCCAGCGCATCCGTTCTCGACGATTCATTACTAACATTAACAATAACTCATCGCCCAATACATTCGAAGACCCTTCCAATCAAAGGCAGCTCGATCAAATTTTCGGCGTTCAACCCCACTCCTGATCTTGCTGCTATTCGTGAGTGAATGGGCACTAGTAGTGACTCCAGAGAGCTCAGCTGGGACGAATGTTGCGAGCCCACAGCTCTGTCGTTCTTCGAACTCTGAGTCGATCCAACCACTTTCGACAGTGTAGCGCCTGCCGCGGTCGTGACGCGCCTTGACGCAGCTGAAAATGCCGTGTCAAAGCTGACCGCACTCTCATTAAACTTTGCGCGCGGCTTACAGCCCGCTGGCCGGCATTAATCCCGTACAATTCATAGGTATGTTCTACATTCATGTGTCTGCGCGTGGATGGGCTGTACTTGACATGGCATGGTTATATAGATCCAAAAGCATTTGTATTGTAGTGCCGCGTCATTTTCACCTGGTCCACCGAGTCACCTTTTTGAAATGTCAAGGCCCTCAGCCAATACATAATTTCCCATGCTGTGTGATAAATCACCTAGCACAAGGCTATATTATAACGTCCACAGATTCCGCGGAGATTATCCCTACTGCCTTTACTACGTTCGCGCTGGAAGCCGACCCGGAGACAATGTGAGTCTCGTAGATCGCGATGGCCCCAGTGATTTCAGCCTATAAAAGCCCTTGTGTCCTTCTATTTATCCGCCTCATTCACATCAACAAGCTCCATGATGATGTTCACCTCCCGCTTCATCATCTTTGCGCTGCTCAGCTTCCTTGCTGGCGTCAATGCGACGCAGTGTGCAAAGTTCCCAGCCACACTGGAATACAACAGTAGTGCCTTGAAGCTAGCCAGCAGCACTGTATACCCCGAAGGGCCAACAGTTTGCGTGTGCGTCATGCTCACACATCTTCATTAAACAAAGTGACTGATGAGCCGGCAGGTACGATGTTAGCACCATAAACGATGACTACGATCTGCTGTGCCAGTATTTGGTACGTCCTTTCTGGATGCTGTGTAACTCCTCGTTCTCGTTCTCGTTTGACACTTTAGCAATCATCAGGCTACCGGCGGATTGTAGGCTGGGTATAAGACGTGTCCGAAATCGTCAAGGAAGGATGCGTGCGTGTGAAGGGGCGGGCCCGGTGATGAGACACCCAACAGGAGAAGTGATGCTCTGCAAACAGCAGGAGGACAAATTTGAGGAGGCCGCTGCCAGGAAATTGATTAAGTACTTACCAGTTGTTCATGAGGCTGCATCAATTTCTTGCCAGCAAACTCTTTCGAGACTCTGAGTCGGACTCTAGCATACAGATAGAGACAAGATACGTCTCTGTACGGCGACACGAAATTTGCGCATTTTCTAATACCCTCCAGTCTCCAGATGAGTACTGACTCTTGAAGCTTTCCCTGGACCTTAAGAAACCTTGCGAGCAGGACTTCACTTCGGAAACAACATGCAGGGTAAGTACCAGCTCAGTTGCAAGGCTATTTGAATTTTCGTTGTCAGTGTTGTACAACAGCGGGGAACACAGTGCAGAGATAATATCAAAGCCCAGACGATCTCAACTTAGGTAGGCAAGAGAGCCCTGCGCCGACGATTTACTACCAACGTCACTAATTAACTAACTCATCACCCTAGTATATGTATCATGAGGTCCACAAACTGGTTCTTCTCGAGTCTGCGGAGATTATCATGCAGCCTATGTAACTATTTTTGCCTAAGAACTTGCATGTTACTATAAGTTACTGTTCGCAGGAGCGCAAGAGAATTGAACCAGTGTAAATCCTCAGGCCTCAGCGCTCAGCAGCGAAGCTAGCAACGCCAAATAACCTTCGTGCCTTCAAGTTACGTTCGCGCTAGAAGCGGACTTGGCGAAGCGAGTCTCGCAAATCGCGACGGCCTCAGTAATTTCAGCCTATAAAACCCTTGCATGCTACTACTTGTGGATAGCTTTGCCTCATTCACATCAACAAGCTTCATAATGTTAACTTCCCCCTTCGTCATCTTTGCGCTGCTCAGCTTCCTCGCTGGCGCCAACGCGACATGTGCAACGTGCCCAACCACACTGGATTACGACGGTAGTGCCATCACGCTTATGAGGACTGCCACAAACGCCAACAGCGGGATGAAACGTTGCGAGTGTGTCAGACTCACATATCTTCACCGAACAGAGGCACTGATGACCGGCAGGTACCTGGATGACATTTTGGGAGTATTCTTCATCTGCGACTATGGGGTACGTGCTTTCTGGATGCTATGTAACTCATCGTTTTCGCTTGACACGCTAGCGATTATCAGTCCGACGACCATTTGACGGACGGGTATCAGTCATGTGTGTCTGAGTTAACGAACAGTGAGGATGATGAGTGCTGAGGGTGATGTACAGTGGTGGGCTGGGGCCGAGACGCCCAGCAGGGACTTGGGTGTGCGTGGCAGTGGAAGTGGAGCTCGAGTCGACATGGCACTTTGGCCTAATTTCTTTCACCCAAGTACTTATGTTACAGTAGTACTGTTCAAGAGGAGAAACAATTCCGCCTGCATCCTTAACGGCGAAGTGAGCAAGGCCGAATAACCTGGCAGCTGGATTTTCGGACGAGGAACATGATGGTAGGATCTAGACTCAGTATATCACAGTGAGTGTACGATTTCATAGCCAACCTATACGTGAAAAAGTTCGTCAGATGCCAATACTTACAGTCACATGTGTGAGTGACCCATTGACATGTCCAGACAAGGTTAGACCTTCTCCGATGCGAAGTTAAGCGACGGAAAGGGTCCGCGTACTAGGCAACTTACGAAGGCTCGATCATAAAGTCAAGTTGACTTTTGACATTTACATTTTTTCATCCCGATATTACTTATAAGTACAAGACATGACGTCCACCATTCTTCTCGAATCTGCGGGGATCATCATGCACTTTGCTTAATTGTTTTTGCCCAAGCACTCACATGGAATTGTCGGCCTGCATTCTCAGCAGCGAAGCGAGCAACACCGAAAAACCTTCCGGCTGCCTTTACGTTCGCGGTGGAAGCCGACTTGGAGACGAAGTGACGGCCCCAGTAAGTTGTAACTCAGCCTATAAAACATGCCATGGCCTTACTTCGTGCAAATTAACAAGTTCCATGATGTTCTCTTCCCGCTTCGTCATCCTTGCGCTGCTCAGCTTCCTCGCTGGCACCAACGCGACGCAGTGTGCAAAGTGCTCAGACACACTGGATTACAACGGTAGTGCCTTGAAGCTAACCAGCAGCACCGTATACCCCGAGGGGCTAACAGCTTGCGTGTGCGTCACACTCGCATCTTCATCGAACAAAGTCAGTACTGATGAGCCGGCAGGTACGACGTTACCCACGACTTCGAGCTGCTTTGCCAGTATCTGGTACGTGCTTTCTGGATTCTGTGCGACTTGTCGTTCTCGTTTGACACACTAGCAACCATCAGGCTACCGGGGTATTGGAGGGCGGGTATAAGACGTGTCCAAAATCGTCAAGCAAGGGTGGGGATGGGTGCGGATTGTAACGGGGAGGGCTTGGGGATGAGAAGTAATGCTCGTCTGCAGACAGCGGAATGGCAGAATTGAGGAGGCCACTGGGGAAAAAGGATTGGGTTCTTGCCAATTGTTCATGAAGCTGCCCTCGAATTTTTTGGTGAACCCTTTCTCGGAGACTCTAGCATTCAGATGGTCACAAGATATGTACATGTCTCTGCACAGTGACACGAAATTTGCGCATCGATGTTTCGTTCTCTAATAAGTACCCTCTAGATGAGTACTGGAGCGTTCCCTGGACCTTAAGAAACCCTTGCACTGAACACTGAGAAGTTCACTTCAGAAGCAACTTGCAAGGTAACGCCTGGTACTCAACTCCCGAGTTTTTCACGGTCAACCAGCAAGGGATGGAGGTTTGAAGTAGTGGTCTGCAACCAATCCAGCGCAGACAATCACCCCTCCATGACAATTTGCCTGGAAAGCATTGATGTCAGCGCATCAAACTAACGCTCGGGTTTTTGGGGTCTAATCCCACTGCCATTCTTGTCAGTTGATATACATCCTCCGTGGGCTGCCAGCGGAGCTCAGCTGACAGGACGAATGGTACGAGCTCATGGCGCAATTCATTCTTCGAAATTAACGCCGTAACTTGTTCTAGACTGCTTCGATCATTGCGACGTCAGCCAATTGACATTGGACAAGTGCAAGTGACATGTACAGGCACCGATAGTCTCTGAATCCCATGGGTCATTACTATCATGCATGTTGACACGAAATGCATTTCTCGAAGACATATTCGCAGCTGCTGCTCACATTACCACCAGAGCTACGTGATAATGCGATACAATATCACCAAGTAATTGCAATGACGGGGCAACATATGGTAGTGCTGACCATCTGACAGCTCAAGAAACTCATCAACCAACTTGTACGAGAGCTCTGTTCTCTTGGTCTCAGTCCGACCGATACTCCAACAGTTGCTCGAACAATAGAACCATGCAAGTTTGACCACCAATATTGAGGAGATACGCATCGATGACATTCCTGATGGCGATGTCCACCACCAACGGCATGCCACTGTGATCTACGAATTTACAGGAACGTCCGTTCATCTTGAACCTCGTCTCCGACTGTCAGTCAAGCGTCTGACAAACGCTGTGAAGGCTACATCTGGTCACATGGCCACACCAGACAGCGTCCTCGAGGCTCTTCATCTTCACTCAATTGCTTTAGAACACAACACGGCCTTTGTGAATATCTCTTACTCTTCCACGAAGTACGTCCAATGTATTCTGACATGTGCTTCCATTGATAGCCTAGAACCCAGCACCCACGATCTCATACCATTACGGTCCGATGCTGCGTTCTTTCAGCTGTTGATCACTGCACTCGCAGAGGGGGGTGAATTCTTCGGATGCTAGGGAGCGCATGGTTGGGCCGGGATCTTGCATGAGGGGTAGGGTTTCTTCGAGGGACTACTTACTGTGGTAGCATTGAACCAGGGTCCCAAGAGATGGCATGGGAGGTCACAAACCTGACGAGAGTGCATCCAATTGGACCAAGCTTCATGCAAAAGCTCCAATTCTTTTAAGTTGACGTACGTGTGCAATGTCTTCTAGAGAGGAGATGTTCTCGGACATCTGGTGTATACTGAGTTGATGCATGATGTAAACCAGTGTGAAAATGACATTTGCTAACTTGGAGGATGTGAGCGTTGATTATCTTGTTTGATTGGGTATATGACATTAGAGGTGAGTGGATGATACTCTGCGAGGTATATGGACGGGTGATCAAAAAGAAACGTCGGTGAGGTTTTAGCAGCGACACAGAAGGCGGAACATCATGTGCATGAACAATATTGCGGAGGAAGGTTGATTGGTTTAGAAGGTACTACTTTCCAAAAAAAATAGTCTCAGGCCATACAGAAGGAAGACGTTCTACTTACTATTCGGCTCTGGGGGGAGAGCAAGGTCATACCATCCATGATATTGACTCAATTCACGAACAGTCCATTTCCCAGAATAGCAGTAGCTGGCAGCTATAGTCGTCTCTGTCTGTTGCGCGATGCTACAACTTACCATGTCGATCCTGTATGGTTGCTCGACCATGCGGAACTCAGTTGTATCCAATAGAGGTGTCCTGGAGGGAGAAATTATCGTGGAAGCCAATGAGATGATTCTCACGTTCAAATCTCCGGCTGTACCTGCTAGGAATGCAAGAGGCGAAGAAGACGTGCAAAACCTCACCTGATTTGTATATTTGGAACATCGTTTCCTTGACCGACACATTTTGCTGCAAGGACATCATTTGCAACAAAGGCGGTAAGTACCCGAGAAGCAGTTAAAACCAAAGCCACACGTAATTACTTTGTATCAAAAATTGTACTTGTCCGAATAAAATAGCTTGATCAATAATTATATATTTACCTTGGAGAGCCTCGGAGAAATGGTAAACGGAAAGGGAAGTGGGTGACTACAGAAGTAGCTTATTAACAGAGACAACAGACAACAGAGGAACGGGAGCGAGCGCACATTGCGACACCAGTGGACCATTGAGGTTCGAAATCGACCACTTTCCCGTTTGAATCGGATTGTTTTGAAAACATAAACCTAGCAAGTAGGCCAGACATTGCTATCCATAAAGAGGCGTCCGCAAAATGTCGACCAACGCAACTCCTGCAGGATCATAAGGACGTTTAAATGAAAAGGTGACTTATGATATCGTGACAAACCTTCTCCCAAACCCAAAGGTTACATCAACCGTGTCCTCGTTGAGGCTGCCATCAGCGTTCAGGAAGCGCTCGGGCAAGAACTGCGAAGGATTTGGGTATTTGTGTTCATTTTGTGTCATTGCCCTGTAAAACGGTTGACCTCTAGATTCCACTTGGATATGACCATACATACCATACATTCGGCATAACGGTGGCACCTGTTTACGAGGTCAGCAAGGAATATCAGAAATAATGCACTTTCAGGCCTTTGGGTATATAATATCCCTCGCAGACATCACTATTCACCGAAGCATGCGGCATTGCTACGCTATTCCATAAGACAATGACGGGCACCAGAAACTGTAAACGCACATAGGGGCAATATAGGACGCCAGCGAAGAGTTTCCCGGAGGATAGCATCGATGTATTGAAGGGACGACCTATCTTCGAAAGTCGGCAGCCTCGACCCGCCAATGACGGCATCAATCAGAACATGAGCTTTTATTTGTACCTCCGGGAAGAGCACCATGGCAAGGATGAATACTTGCAGTACCGAGGCCGTCTAAGTCAAAAAATCAGAGTGGTGCAAGGTAGATCACTCGAGAACTGAATACCGTTTCGGAAGCAGCTGCTCGGAAAGTCATCAACTATTCTTCCGGCACGCTGTGTCCGATTGGTGCTCACCTCCAAACGCTGCGGCTGCGGTTTCTTTGATAGCTTGTGTTATCTCCCCGGATGGGTCTTTTCCATCAATCCGTCTGAGGGCATTCGAAACCACGGACGGCCGCGCCGTCCCGTCAGCCTTTCGGGATACGTTAGGTACAAATAGACGTGAACTCGATGAATTACCATTGTTGTGAGCACACGCTGGAAAGGATCGTTCATCCAGCCTCGGATTAACTCTTGTGACCGCGCACCCTTCTTCTTGATCGACATACCAGGGATCCATGATGGTAGTCGAAGAACTACATAAACAGTATCCAGTCAAGGTCAGAGAAAATACGACAGAAGACCCACGAATTCGAAATGTCTTGATAAAAACAGCCACTTCAGGTCTAAGTTCCTCCAAAGCCAACTTGAGTGTCTTCCCAACGGCCTCAACCAATGGGTCGTTGTGCAGCTCCGTCTCATGGTCATATATAGCTGACATTATTATAGAAGATGCATATCTGGGAAGAATCTCGGCATCAATAATACACGGTACCGGCGGGAGAAGACTTACACGTGAACATGGTTTAGAAACTCCTCTGGGGTATCAAGAATGCCACTGATAAACTGTTGGGCCTTCCGCTGCTGCATCGGACGGTAGGTTAGGGCTGCTTTCTCCCTGAAAGCTTGATGGAATATCCTTCTTTGGCGACGCCAACGGACTCCGTATGCCATAAGTACGGTGCTGAAATCCAACCCGAAACTAGTAGAAACAATGTCAGGAACTACACTGGCTTAGTTGGTTAAATATATGTCCTACAGAGGGGTTGTTGGAAGGTTCGGCCTGTCAGAGTAGTTGTATGACCGCTTTTCTAAAAGCTCGATCGCCACTTTCTCGGAGTTAATGACGATAAACTCTTGGTCGAAAAAGTGCGAATATACAATATCTCCTGGTGACCATTTAGCAGTATTCAGCGTCAACATGTCTCCATGTCATGTCATGCACGCACGCACCATATCGTTTACCCCATTCCGTGTAAGTTAGCCACGGTGCACTAATATCAATCCCACGGACATTGCCAATGATTGGAAAAGGTCGCGGCCCCGGCGGTAGCGGAAGCATGTTTCTCTTTTCCATCCAACAACGGATCGCAACAATAAGAGTGGCGCAGATCAAAGCGCCAATGCATGCGTCTGTAAACCAGCCCGACGACATGACAGCAAAGGACGGAGGAGTACTAGTGTTGCGTTTCGGGCATGTCCGTTTAAATGTGAACAAATATAATAATTGCAATAAGTATTAGTCGTCCCGGGCCAGGGCTGCACCTCGCTAATAATGTCGCACCGTTCGAGCCTGAGGGTGTATCCAACCAAACTCTGTATAACAATTCAGATTAACCGCGAATATGATGGCATGGATATAGTTCGGCACATCAGGAAATCCAGCCGAGCAAAAGTGATTGTAGCACAGTGCTGCTTTGCAATCGACTGTACTGTAGGCCAAAATCGAATACCGATTGACGCTCGACCACAGATTAAAATCGGAACTTGGATGTTTTTGCTACACGGCCCGCGTTTCAAACGTGTCATGGGCCGGCACTGCAAATTTAGCTTCTATTCACATCTAAACCAAGAACCCAGCGCTTGTTACATGATACTCATGTTCTAGACACTCAGATTCGTACGGAGATTTCCTGACCATATATAAAACCATTTAGAATGTATCACACATCCGGCCAGGTCTGTCCCCGAGCCATTCACTGCCGACGACAAGGTGAAATTATGCCTGATTTCACCCTGAGACTCTAAACGTCAGAGATCCGCTACAGGTTGTTATGTCTGAACGATCTTCTGACCAATACAATGAGACCCGGCAAACCAATCGAACCAATCGGACCCGCTGTCGTAGTGTAGGCCCCGTTCACATCGATGACAATTTTGAGGTAGAATCTGAGGTGAGTCTGCTACATATGATAGATCTTCCAAAATGAATGCAATCGCGCAGGGGCATCCAGTAACTTGCAGAAACATCGTGATTTTCGGAGAGACTGGAGTCGGTAAAAGCTCCTTGATCAATTTGATTGCAGGCAAGGATGTCGCCTCCACATCACCAGACGCACTTTCTTGTACCACTGAGGACCATGCATATGAGGTCGATATACGTGGCAAGACGTACACTTTGCACGATACCGTGGGTCTTGGAGAGGGAAGTCATGGGTTGGTGCCAGAGGATGTGGCTTCCAAAAAGTTGAAATCTTTTCTACGGAAGATATCACGAGACGGTGGGCTACATCTTCTGGTCTACTGTGTGCGTGGGTCAAGGGCCACCAGAGCACTGCTTCGCAGTTACAAAACCTTCGCTGCGGCGGTTGCAGGGATGAAAATCCCAGTCGTTCTTGCCGTGACGTGCATCGATGACTTTTCGGAAGCAGGTATTTGGTGGGAGAGGAATGAGAAAATTTTGGAGGGCTTTGGGATCCAGTTTGATGCCCATGCTTGTGTATGCACGCTTCCTGGAGACTCCTTCCGTGATCGCCGCTTGCAGTCAAAAATCGACATTTGCGAAAAAATCTCGGAATTATGCATTCATGATGGTGTTCGTGGGGTACAATTTAAACACCCAAGACGCCAGAAGAGCTTGCCTTTTATGAAATGAAATGTGTTGAATTGTACTTACTGTATTTTTATCTCGCGGCCGGTCTAGATTGTATCCCTGCCAGCTGTCATATAGAGATTCACGTAACTTGTTCAAAGCGGTTGTTTGGTTCCGGGGCCTTTGCCAAACACCCACTTATGGGAATCATGACAGACTTCCTCGTCGGGATTCACCGACACGTGCAGTACCTTCAACTCAACCTCATGGATGTCATCCAGTCCATCCTGGTCCGTGCGATTGGCGACGAAGAACCAGAACTACCGCCGGGCTCACCTCCAACATGTAGGTTCAGGCCGGAAATACAGATTGTCCAACTGACACTATGTACCTCTAGACAAGTTCGAGGGACCATGGTTTACGACACAAATCCTACTCGCTTCGACCATAGGACTGTCATCTTTCCTGATTTTCTCGTATTGTCGCTCACGATGGCCATTGATATATGCACCAAGAACGATGCTGAAAGGCATGGTTTTGCGTTCTTGCTACATAGTGGAACTAATCCCCTCCAGACTTCTCGCCGCATGAGGCACATGCTCACCAGGCGTTTTTTGGATGGATCATTCCAACCTTGAAGGTGTCTGAGTATACTGTGCTCCAAATAGTTGGGCTGGATGCGGCAGTGGCAAGTTTATCTCGCAATACATGTGCCGAGACATTACTCACGTGCAAACAGCTCCTTAGCTTCTTCAAAACCTCCTTTTACCTCTTTTCCGTTTGCTCTTTATGTGCTGTTACGATCCTCATGCCTATTAACTGGAACGTACGTAAATTCACATGTCTGGGGTTCATCGCTTCATCTTGCTCGTAGAATAACATCGGCCTCGGAGGGGGCGCAGACGAAGACGATAACGACTGGCCGGAATGGATCGCCACCGGTGGTGACGACCCAGTGACACCCGGACGGGACTGGCTCGACCTCATCAGCGATGCTAACTCATACCTGACCATTCATTTTCTCTTCACGTACCTTTTCACTTTCCTGGCATTGCGATTTCTCTACAGGAACTATCGTCGGTTCATTCGCTCACGTCAGCTTTTCTCCCTCGAATTGGTTCATTCCATTCCCGGAAGGACTGTCATTGTGACTAATCTTCCTAATCATCTTCGGTCCGAGCGGGCTCTCGCTGAATACTTTGAAAATATGGGACTTAGCGTTGAGAGCGTGACGGTCTGCAGAGAAGTCGGCACCTTAAAGGTCCTTCTTGACCGTAGGACAAAAGCATTACTGAAGTTGGAGAGTGCATGGACGAATTATGTGGGGAATCCAAGTGTGGTGGAGTCCTACGACCCGTCAGAGAATGTCATTCCCCCCTCTGATAGAGAGCCGTCACTACTAGAAAACCAGCAAGGGCGTTTCGTCGTACCACATCGCCAGCGTCCTACCATACGACCAGGATGGTTCTCCCGAAAAGTTGATGCACTTGAGTACCTTGAAGCGAAGTTCACGGAGGCCGACGAGAAAGTCAAGAGGTGGCGTCGTATCGGGAAAACTAAGGCAACACAAGTCGCCTTCGTTACATTCGAGAAGATGTCTAGCGCAGTAAGTGTCGACTTTATTGACGTACGTCTCCCTTTGCTAACCGCTCTGTAGCAAATTGCTGTTCAAGCAGCGCATTCATCTGACCCAGGGGAAGTGAAAACCCGCCCAGCTCCTGAACCGCGGGACATTGTTTGGTCAAACATTGCTTATCCTCCAGGAAACCTCTTAGCTCGCGAGGTGTTTGTCGTCGGTTGTGTGGTGCTACTGCTATTTTTCTGGATATTCCCCATCACTGCGCTTGCGAGTCTGTTGAGTTACAAGGAGATCAAGAAAGTGATGCCTTGGCTTGCTAGACTTATCGATAGCAACGACAAAATACGTGCCATCGTACAGAATTCCTTGCCGTCTGTGGCCATGATTACGCTAAACGCACTTCTACCGTTTATTCTTGAAGGTGCGTCATCCTACTAGACATTTAGCGTAACTTATGGTTGGCATTACTAGCTTTGACCTACGCTCAGGGGTACAAAGCACGAAGCTTGATCGAATACTCTCTGATGCGAAAGTTAGTTCTTTCCACTTTGCGAAGGTCTACCTCTGAGGCTTTGAAAGATACTTTTTGTTCCTCCTCATCAATGTGGTATTCATCTTCCTTTTGGCGAGCA